AGATCATTTTTAATTTTCTAGAATCTGCTTTCTGCTGTTCATGAACGCCTGTTACTTCTTTAAAATTAAAATTCACGAATATAGTCAAAATAAAATATTTGTGAAACAAAATACCAGGCGAGCAGAATGGATAGGAGGGAAATAGATCATTTTTAATTTTCTGGAATTTGCGTTCTTCTGTTCATGAGTGCCTGTTACTTCTTTAAAATTAAATTCACCAAAATGGTCAAAATAAAATATTTGTGTAACAAAATACCAGGCGAGCAGAATCGATGGGAGGGAAATATATCATTTTTAATTTTCTGGAATTTGCTTTCTGCTGTTCATGAGTGCCTATTACTTCTTTATAATTAAAATTCACCAAAATGGTCAAAATAAAATATTTCTGAAACAAAATACCAGGCGAGCAGAATCGATGGGAGGGAAATATATCATTTTTAATTTTCTGGAATTTGCTTTCTGCTGTTCATGAGTGCCTGTTACTTCTTTATAATTAAAATTCACCAAAATGGTCAAAATAAAAAATTTGTGAAACAAAATACCAGGCGAGCAGAATGGATAGGAGGGAAATAGATCATTTTTAATTTTCTAGAATCTGCTTTCTGCTGTTCATGAACGCCTGTTACTTCTTCAAAATTAAAATTCACCAATATGGTCAAAATAAAATATTTGTGAAACAAAATACCAGGCGAGCAGAATGGATAGGAGGGAAATAGATCATTTTTAATTTTCTGGAATTTGCGTTCTTCTGTTCATGAGTGCCTGTTACTTCTTTAAAAATAAATTCACCAAAATGGTCAAAATAAAATATTTGTGTAACAAAATACCAGGCGAGCAGAATGGATGGGAGGGAAATAGATCATTTTTAATTTTCTGGAATTTGCTTTCTGTTGTTCATGAACGCCTGTTACTTCTTTAAAATTAAAATTCACCAATATGGTCAAAATAAAATATTTGTGAAACAAAATACCAGGCGAGCAGAATGGATAGGAGGGAAATAGATCATTTTTAATTTTCTGGAATTTGCGTTCTTCTGTTCATGAGTGCCTGTTACTTCTTTAAAAATAAATTCACCAAAATGGTCAAAATAAAATATTTGTGAAACAAAATACCAAGCGAGCAGAACCGATAGGAGGGAAATTGATCATTATTAATTTTCTGGAATTTACTTTCTGTTGTTCATGAGTTCCTGTTTCTTCTTTAAAATTAAAATTCACCAAAATGGTCAAAATAAAATATTTGTGTAACAAAATACCAGGCGAGCAGAATGGATAGGAGGGAAATAGATCATTATTAATTTTCTAGAATCTGCTTTCTGCTGTTCATGAACGCCTGTTACTTCTTTAAAATTAAAATTTACCAATATGGTCAAAATAAAATATTTGTGAAACAAAATACCAGGCGAGCAGAATGGATAGGAGGGAAATAGATCATTATTAATTTTATGGAATTTGCGTTCTTCTGTTCATGAGTGCCTGTTACTTCTTTAAAATTAAATTCACCAAAATGGTCAAAATAAAATATTTGTGTAACAAAATACCAGGCGAGCAGAATCGATAGGAGTTAAAAAGATCTTTTTTAATTTTTTGAAATTTGCTTTCTACTGTTCATGAGTGCCTGTTACTTCTTTAAAACTAAAATTCACCAAAATGGTCAAAATAAAATATTTGTGAAACAAAATACCAGGCTAGCAGAATCGATAGGAGGGAAATAGATCATTTTTAATTTTCTGGAATTTGCTTTCTGTTGTTCATGAACGCCTGTTACTTCTTTAAAATTAAAATTCACCAATATGGTCAAAATAAAATATTTGTGAAACAAAATACCAGGCGAGCAGAATGGATAGGAGGGAAATAGATCATTTTTAATTTTCTGGAATTTGCGTTCTTCTGTTCATGAGTGCCTGTTACTTCTTTAAAAATAAATTCACCAAAATGGTCAAAATAAAATATTTGTGAAACAAAATACCAAGCGAGCAGAACCGATAGGAGGGAAATTGATCATTATTAATTTTCTGGAATTTACTTTCTGTTGTTCATGAGTGCCTGTTACTTCTTTAAAATTAAATTCACCAAAATGGTCAAAATAAAATATTTGTGTAACAAAATACCAGGCGAGCAGAATCGATAGGAGGGAAATAGATCATTTTTAATTTTCTGAAATTTGCGTTCTGCTGTTCATGAACGCCTGTTACTTCTTCAAAATTAAAATTCACCAATATGGTCAAAATAAAATATTTGTGTAACAAAATACCAGGCGAGCAGAATGGATAGGAGGGAAATAGATCATTTTTAATTTTCTAGAATCTGCTTTCTGCTGTTCATGAACGCCTGTTACTTCTTTAAAATTAAAATTCACGAATATAGTCAAAATAAAATATTTGTGAAACAAAATACCAGGCGAGCAGAATGGATAGGAGGGAAATAGATCATTTTTAATTTTCTGGAATTTGCGTTCTTCTGTTCATGAGTGCCTGTTACTTCTTTAAAATTAAATTCACCAAAATGGTCAAAATAAAATATTTGTGTAACAAAATACCAGGCGAGCAGAATCGATGGGAGGGAAATATATCATTTTTAATTTTCTGGAATTTGCTTTCTGCTGTTCATGAGTGCCTATTACTTCTTTATAATTAAAATTCACCAAAATGGTCAAAATAAAAAATTTGTGAAACAAAATACCAGGCGAGCAGAATGGATAGGAGGGAAATAGATCATTTTTAATTTTCTAGAATCTGCTTTCCGCTGTTCATGAACGCCTGTTACTACTTCAAAATTAAAATTCACCAATATGGTCAAAATAAAATATTTGTGAAACAAAATACCAGGCGAGCAGAATGGATAGGAGGGAAATAGATCATTTTTAATTTTCTAGAATCTGCTTTCTGCTGTTCATGAATGCCTGTTACTTCTTTAAAATTAAAATTCACCAATATGGTCAAAATAAAATATTTGTGAAACAAAATACCAGGCGAGCAGAATGGATAGGAGGGAAATAGATCATTTTTAATTTTCTGGAATTTGCGTTCTTCTGTTCATGAGTGCCTGTTACTTCTTTAAAAATAAATTCACCAAAATGGTCAAAATAAAATATTTGTGAAACAAAATACCAGGCGAGCAGAATCGATGGGAGGGAAATAGATCATTTTTAATTTTCTGGAATTTGCTTTCTGTTGTTCATGAACGCCTGTTACTTCTTTAAAATTAAAATTCACCAATATGGTCAAAATAAAATATTTGTGAAACAAAATACCAGGCGAGCAGAATGGATAGGAGGGAAATAGATCATTTTTAATTTTCTGGAATTTGCGTTCTTCTGTTCATGAGTGCCTGTTACTTCTTTAAAAATAAATTCACCAAAATGGTCAAAATAAAATATTTGTGAAACAAAATACTAGGCGAGCAGAACCGATAGGAGGGAAATTGATCATTATTAATTTTCTGGAATTTGCTTTCTGTTGTTCATGAGTTCCTGTTTCTCCTTTAAAATAAAAATTCCCCAAAATGATCAAAATAAAATATTTGTCAAACAAAATACCAGGCGAGCAGAATGGATAGGAGGGAAATAGATCATTATTAATTTTCTAGAATCTGCTTTCTGCTGTTCATGAACGCCTGTTACTTCTTTAAAATTAAAATTCGCCAATATGGTCAAAATAAAATATTTGTGAAACAAAATACTAGGCGAGCAGAATGGATAGGAGGGAAATAGATCATTATTAATTTTCTGGAATTTGCGTTCTTCTGTTCATGAGTGCCTGTTACTTCTTTAAAATTAAATTCACCAAAATGGTCAAAATAAAATATTTGTGTAACAAAATACCAGGCGAGCAGAATCGATAGGAGGGAAATAGATCATTTTTAATTTTCTGGAATTTGCGTTCTGCTGTTCATGAGTGCCTGTTACTTCTTTAAATTAAAATTCACCAAAATGGTCAAAATAAAATATTTGTGAAACAAAATACCAGGCGAGCAGAATGGATAGGAGGGAAATAGATCATTTTTAATTTTCTGGAATTTGCGTTCTTCTGTTCATGAGTGCCTGTTACTTCTTTAAAATTAAATTCACCAAAATGGTCAAAATAAAATATTTGTGTAACAAAATACCAGGCGAGCAGAATCGATAGGAGGGAAATAGATCATTTTTAATTTTCTGAAATTTGCGTTCTGCTGTTCATGAATGCCTGTTACTTCTTCAAAATTAAAATTCACCAAAATGGTGAAAATAAAATATTTGGGATAGGATAGAACATTTTTAAATTAAAAAGAATGCAATTGAAATAGGGAAAACTTTTTTATTGCAATAATTTTTTTTTCTATTATTAAAATTTTATTTGTGCCCTTTCGTTTTTGATTTTGGTAATTTATAATAAAATATTTAAATAATAAAAATTTATTGGTTTCTTTTTTTTTTATTAACAGAGGCTGACTTTTTTAGGAACAGGAAATTAAAGAAGCAACAGGCGCTTCTGATTAGTAAAAAGCAAATTTCAGAAAATTAAGAATGATCTATTTCCCTCCTATCTTTCCTGCTCGGCTGGTACTTTTTTTGACAAATATTTATTTTGACCATTTTGGTGAATTTAATTTTAAAGAAGTAACAGGCGCTCATAAACGTTATAAAGTGAAAAAGAACGAGCGAAAATCGTGCAGTTCCATTTCACTTTAAAGCTATTTCCTTATTTATCTATTTACAAACATTTTGGTCGCACAAAGCAAACTTATTATGAAACGTAATGAAATAATTACATTTAAGTACAAATTAAATCAAAACTATCTCGTACACGTCATATACATCATAAATACACAAACGTTTTTAGGCTCTTCTAGGAGAAACTAAAAGTGGAAACTCGATTTTTTTTTTCATATTTGAGTGAAAATAATATTTGTCCATTGTACGTGCGTATGTATATTGAATAGAAATTACAGTATCACCGGCAGTGACAGTTTTGTATAATGGGAGAAGAATGAAGTGTCATTTACATACATTTTTTTCTTTAATAACAAACACGCAAAATATCATCGTTCCTAATGTAGAAATAATTAAAAAAAATGTACACCTGATTAAAAATTATAATATAAAAATATAAGTATATATTTTTTTTAGAAAATAATTAAGAAATCTGGTTTTATACGAATTTCTTTTGTATTAATTAAAAAACTAGTATATAAAATGCTTATTTGAATATGAAATAGAAAAAACAAGAAGAAAAAAATAAAAATCAATACAAAAAATTTTATGAAAGTTTACAAAATCTTCCAAAGCTATTTACTGCCTTGCCAGGATTACAAAAAGAAGAAGGAAAACAAACACTAATTAACAAAAATCATGTATTTCAGAAGAAATTTTTAAATAATGTTTTTTTGATAAAGGAATCGGCGGCATTTAAAATTTACGTGAGTAAACAATTCTAAATTTTTATTTTATTTAATCATGCATTAATTTTGGTTTGAATAAACCCATACTTAAATTTTTGTATATTTTAACAAAATGATAGATTCCATGCAAGACTAAAAAAAACGAATAAAATGGACTCGTTAGAGGAGCACTTAGCACAATTAAGAATAATTAATAAGAAATCATTAACATCAAAATCTCCTAGTATTGAAATTGGTTCATTACCGAATTCACCGTATGCAACAACAACAAAAACAAATGATGCTGCTTTAATTACTCATATAAAAGATAAAAGCCCTTCTAAAAAGGTTGGACCAGCAGTTCCACCTAAGCCAGTTAAAGATATACCACAGGTTTTTTTTTATTTTTGGTTGTATTTTGTTCTTTGTTTTTTTCTTTTTGTGTAACAATTTTAAGTTTTGTTTAAGGTTTAATTTTGTTTATTTACTTGTTTCGGAATTATTTATTTCTTGTTATATCATAATTTAATTCTAGTTTTTTTTTATCCATTTATAGTTTCAGTATTTCTTTTCCAGTTTTTTTTTTTCAATTCTTCTTTTATTCAAAAATGAAGGTTTTGAGCTGAAAAATCTGAAATTATACCCAAGTAATAATTCATATTACTTTATTTTCTTTTTTGACGTATAAACAATATGTTGATAATAAATACAATTGTTCTATATGAGAAATGTTGATAAATAATAAAATAAAATAAATAAATTTGACCAACCTTTCTAAGTAAAATGGTTACATTTCGGATTTTTCTACAGGGAAATTAAATTTTGATTTTATTTTAAATAAGACTTAAATTGGTTTAGGTTAGAATTCAGATTATATTTAATTATATTGGATTTTTAGTATTAAATTTATTTAAATCAAATCTAATTGAAAAATATTTAAAATTTAGATTACTAACAGTGTATGCCAAAGTGAACAACACCGTAAACAACAACAATGTAGTTCTATTGGTAGCGTTGGCGCTGGCGTCAGCGGTAACGTCATTAATACAACAAAATCAAATAATAATCCAAATAAGAATTTATTTTATAATGATGATCAAAATGTAACAAAGGAAGCACAAAAATTAAATGAAACAACATCAAGAATTGGTAAAATGCCAATATTATTACGTAAACAGCCGGCATATGAACAACAACATCATGTATATTCAAATATTAAAATGACATTAGATAATCCAGCTATATTAGATCAGCAACTTGAAGCTTTAGAACATCATAAAAAACAACTAGAAAAACGTGGTCTATTAACGTCAGCAAATAAATTACCAACAATTGGACCAAAATTATCTTCGGCATCTTATATTAACGGTGAATTAGTTGCAGCAGCACGTAGTTCACCATCAGTTAAAATGATGGCAGCTAAAATTATTGAAAATCAACAAAAACATCAACAACAAGAAAACCAAATCAAATTAATAAAAACTCAATCAAATGAACAAAATAAATTATTTAATAATAATAAAAATATAAATAATGATATTGATAATAAAATATTGGAAAATGAAAATTTAATGATACAAAAAAAATTTAAAAATCATACATCTTTGCAATCAGATCAACAACAACAAAATGATCAAGACATTGTATACAGCAATATAATGCATTCATCAAATCCATTAGGAAAGTATAATGTACATGGCGAAAAAAATATTTATACAAATATTCAATATAATCCGGGTTAGTAATTTTAAGGTTAAATTACTTTAATTGCTTCTTGATTCTTGTTTTTGTTTTTTTAAAAGATTTGCCGCCACCGCCAATTAAAACATCAAATGATAATGGTCGGCCATCAATTTCAAATTTAAGTACACCAAGTGAAATGAGTAGTGGACTAGAATATTATAATCAGCAACAACAAAATAGTTCAATATCCGGTATAGAGGAAGAATTTCCATTACCGCCAAGTCCAGTAAGTTCTTCTTATAGTGAATTAAGACGGGCGACTGATAATTGTCCTCAAATATCGGCATATCCAACAGTAGGATATCAAAGCGGTAATATATACTATACAATTATGTAGTTTTGAAATTATTTATTTTTTATGAATTTTAATTGTTTAGATTTGGATAGCATAACACAATCTAAGCAAAATTCGTACATGAACACAACATATAATGATTACAGTACTTACGGTGGACCAAGTACACAAGTAAATTTCTTTTTTCTTGTTTAGTTGGTAATTTTTTAGGTACATAGTAAATTTTTCATTTTGTTTTTATTTACTTCTTTTCTAATACTATAATTAGAGTTTCAGTCAATCATCATCAGCATCTGATTATTATGGATTTGGGAGTATTTGCCAGGTAATTGTTTAAAAATTAATTTAACGGACTCATAGAAATTTTAAATTTTTTTTGTTTTTTTTAGGGTTCATCAACCTATGAATCAATTTATGAACCAATAACAATAAACCCGACTAATCAAATGGCATCTAGATCAAATTTTTCATTGTACACTTCATATGAGAATGACGCACAAAACGTTAGTAACAATAGTATAAGAAATGTTACAGAAAACATCAATTTAACAAACTCAAATAATTCAAATAAAGAAATTGAGGTTCAGAATTTCACTGATCTGATTGTTAATTCAATTGATTCAACAAATGATAGTGATAGTTATGGTATATTTTTGCTTTTTCCTTTTTTAATATTATTTTTTAACCGGTATTATTATATTTAGGTTCTTGTGTTAAATGTGGTGAACGAGTTGTTGGTGAAAATAGTGGTTGCACGGCAATGGACCAGATATATCATATATCGTGTTTCACGTGCTCGCAATGTCAAATAAATTTGCAAGGAAAACCATTCTATGCATTAGAAAATAAACCATATTGTGAAGAAGATTATTTAAACACTTTGGAGAAGTGTTCAGTTTGTATGAAACCGATATTAGAAAGAATTTTAAGAGCAACCGGTAAACCATATCACCCACAATGTTTTACTTGTGTTGTTTGTGGTAACAGTTTAGATGGAATACCATTTACAGTTGATGCTACTAATCAAAACTATTGTATTCAAGATTTTCACAAGTAAATATATGTATTATATACAAGTTTTCTTCTTCTTTAAATTTCATTAATGTGATAAATTGTTATTTTATTTATTCATATAAGTAGGTTAAAAAAAGTCGTACATTTAATTGCTTAAGTTTTCAAAAAATCACTCAAACAATTTTGCATTGATTAAACCTTTATAAATACTTTATTTCATAAAAAAATTTGTTGAATATTTCAAATTTTAAAGAAAATTTGCTCCAAGATGTTGTGTTTGTCGCGAGCCAATAATGCCAGACCCAGGGCAGGAGGAGACTGTGAGAGTTGTAGCATTGGATAGAAGTTTCCATTTTGAATGCTATAAATGTGAGGTATGGTTAAAATTTATTAATCTGAAAATTTTGTCAAATAATATAGTTGATAATATTTTAGGATTGTGGTCTTTTACTGTCTTCGGAAGCTGAAGGGCGGGGATGCTACCCATTAGATGATCATGTATTATGTAAAAGTTGTAATGCTAAACGTGTTCAGGCATTAACTAATCATATAGCAACTGAATTATAAATTTGAAAAAAGTATTATTGAAATAATATTTAATTGTCTAAATTAAATTTGAGCTGCAAAATATAAATGTAAAGTTGATTGAAAATAATTATTTTCGATTTTATCTTCTTTTTTCCTATCCTTTTTTTTATGTGGAGTTGCCGAAGTAAAACGCATTTTTAGTTTTAAAATCCCAGAGCTTTTTTACATACATACAAATACGTGCTGTTTTTGTCCACAAAAAAACTCAGTGTCTTCTACTGTAATTTGCTTTTTATGATCTTCCAAGAAAATTAGTTTTAAATCACCTTCATTATTTGTTTTTACTTAATACCGCATCGTGAAAACTTTACACAGTATTGTAAACTTTACAGGGTTTACATGGAACGAATTTTGACTTTTCTTAAAGCTTACCAACTTTATTATAAATTTTAGCATATGCACTCTCTGCCTTATCCTACGAATTTACAACAGTTTTTAAATAATATCGAATTAAATACTTCTTGCAAAAAGAATAGGAAGGCTAATGCATGGCTTAAGTTGACTCGCATTTTTTTTACAATATAGAAATCGTCAAACATTTGCAAAATTGAAACTGAAAAAAAAACATTAATACCAGCAAAACGGTACAAAAAACTTTACATTAAGTATCCTAGACATAAAAAGAAGTTTTATTTAATCTTGCAATTTCATAATTTTAGCTTAAAAACTAACTAATTACATTTTTAACTTAATTTTACATTTTTATTTTTATTTTTTTTGATGATGAAAACATAAAAACTCAAAATAATCTAAGTAAATAACAATCTTAAAACGCAACATCAGTAATATTCTGGTAAAGCCAGTAAATTATATATCTGATAATGTGGGTGTAAAAACTCGCATTGTAGATTTGGAAGTGGGTTTCTAAAATGATCATTAAAAGAATACAGAATATTTCTTCAAAGTTATTATAACAGTAAACATCTGCATTAATGGTTTTACATACAGCTACTTTTGTAATTAAATCTACTATTTAATTTTATTTCATTAATGAAATATAAGTATTCTGTGCGTAAATATTATTTAAGTATATTTTTTACTTAATTTTATAAAAGATAAAAAATATACTTAAATGATTTTATTTTATTTTTTTACATTTTGCACCAAACAACTAAAATGAGTAATAGAAAAAGAAATAAAATTTTTATTATTCTTTTGTCTTGTCCACAAAAAGAAGACGTCTTCAAAAGATAATGTATATAAAAACCACCATTGATATTCTATTTTAAATACTTATAAGTTCCAATATTCTGTATTTTGAATTTAATTTCAAAGATTTTAACTTAACACTATTATAAAAACATTTTGTTCTAAATTAAATAAATATTTCCACTTCCCACATTTCTTGTTTTAAAATATAATCTGTACAATTAAAGAAATATAGACATACTTTGATTGATTCTTTAAATATGTATGTATACTTTTTAAAATATTGAACAATAAGAAAAAATTGCTTTTGCTATAAAAACCATTAGGAAAAACCAGTTCCTCAAAAATTTTAAAATATAAGATACACATATAAAAATATTTGTAATATTGCAATAAAAATCATATTCAAAATCTAATTTGACTTTTAAAAAGAACCAAAAACAAATCAAGCTCTGGGTTTGCTTTACATTTGGTAAAAGCCTTGAAAAATTTTTCATCAAAAGTTAATTTAAAATAAAAAGGTTTCCATATATATATATATGTATAAACATACACATATATATATATAAATATATATATATATAATAATTAAAAATATAATGTACATATATGTGTATTATAAGATATATGTGTATATATGTGTATTATGTAAATATGTATATATATATATATATGATATAAGTATATATATATGTTAATATATGTATATAATAACATTTTTATTGAATACATTTCGAATATTGCGTTTACAAAATTAGATTATTTGTTTTTCCAAAATCTTTAATGCTTTACTTTAATGTTTTTTGTAGTTTCTTTCATTCAAGATATCTATTTACCTTCATTATTTCGTTTTTCATTATTACTCGTATCATTTGACTGATTGGCATTATTTTCAATAGTTTCGTTGTTTCTATTTCTACGCAGAGCATTCATTAATGTATCTTGAACGTCTCTCATTAAATTTGGATTTTCTGCGCTTATGGCCGCCGCAACTTGACGACTCCTGAAAAATTTATTATAATAATAATAATAAGCAAATATTTAATGTGAATATAAAAATTAAAAAATATTTACATGTCCAATATTCCTTGAGGATTATCAGCCAGTGAATGTAATCTTTTCAAAGGAAATTAATTTGCATATACATATACGATAAGAAAAAAAAAAAAATTACTTTTAAATTGTTTTGCGATATTCGAAGTAAGGAATAATTTCTTATTTTAAAAATAAAACTTTCAAATATTATTTTAAAAAAAAAAATAAATTTCAAAATAAGGAAATACTTTAGTACATATGCAGCTTCCATTAACGTGCATAGTAACTACCAACTATTAAGGTATTAACTTGTATATTAAAAAATTTGATATTTTTTTGAAAAACAATCAATATGAACATTTAAAACTGATTAACATATTCATAAAAAATACTAAAATTTGAGAAGTTAATTGAAAAAAAATCTAGTAAGTGATTGATTGTTATATGATAATGAAGTTTATAATATAAAAGTTAAAAAAAATAAAAAAACAAAACCTTGAAAATTACTTACGCAGATGTTATTACTGGATCTCTCAACATATCTCCGAACAAATTAGTTAAATTAGCTGGATTTGAAAACATGTTTTCAAAATTATTTTCCCCGCCCTCTGATGCTTGAACTGATGATAAAAATGATTGTATATTTGTTATCGATGGATTTGTGGCTGTATTAGCAGTAATACGTTCTTCGGCCACACGTAAATTATTTTGATAATCTTGGTTATCTGGTTCCAATTCCAATGCTTTTTGATAAGCAGCACGAGCTTCTTCGAATTTATTAAGATTTGAATAGGCGATACTATAAGAAAAAAATCAAAATGATACTTATAATTAATATATAAGCGAAATTATTAGCTTAATAATTATACATATATATTTACATATACATATACATTCTAACAAAATAAAATTTTTTTACCCCATTCTTCCATATGCTTTTCCATAATCTGGATTATAAACTAATGCCATTTTGCAATCACCAATTGCTTTATCATATTGACCTAATCTGATAAATGCTGCAGCTCTGTTACTGTAAAACACTGGATTTGTTGGATCGTAAGTGATTGCTCTAACAAAAAACAAATTAAATTTACGTCAATATTCAAATATTATTTTTTGTAGTTCATTGTGAAGTACTTATGCACATAATTACATACCTATTATATTGAAGAAATGCTTCTTGGAATTTACCCTCTTTCATCAAACGATTTCCATTATCTTTAATTTGTTCTGCTATTTCCCCACGATTAGGACTTGTTTCCAAACATGCAGTTTGATATAATTCGAAAAGATCAATTGGATTAAATTTTTTATTATTTGATGTTGATGTTGCTGTATTATTTTCTGCATTTTCATCTTCAATTTGATCATCCGGATGAAGTTCAAAAGCTGCTTCCAGGCACTGTATTGCAACTTCAAGACTTTCTAATCCATCAGAAGGCAAAGTTTGCTCTTGTATTTGTTGTTTCAAAAAATTAATAAATTTTGAAGCAAATGATTTTTTAATTTCATCAATCATAATTGAAAATTTGTATGGTAACTTTTTTTCCCTTAATTAAATTTGAGGTTAAATAAAACTCCTCTGAGTTGTAATATTTTGGGCATCAAAATAAAGGCTTATTTAAAATTGCTTTATTTTCTTTTTAAATAAACAAAAATCTTTTGAATATTAATAAAATAATTATTTGTTTAGTATTTCATCATAATAGACTGATAAATAAAAGTTTTAAATGCACTTAACTGAATTTTTATATACAATTATTCTTTATAGACTTTTTTTAAACGGTCAAAACTATTCACCATTCGCCACTTATGTATACATATGTACATGATATGACATGTATATAAATTTTTATTTGACGTTTAAAATTAGATTTTTACAGTGCTGCCATACACAAATATAAAATACAATCGAATTTGGAAACATTATACAGTCATTTACAAAAATATTTCGAAACACAAAATACATAATTAAAAAAGTTACATGAATGCGGCAATACTGTAGACACCATAACTGTTAATTGCTACTGACATCTGATGTCATTCTCGTTTCGTGGTCATATTTACACACATTAGTGATATTTGCACGAGTACTCATGCATCTCATGCTTAACTACACTTTTTTAATATACATATTCGTTTCCACAGTGTCATCACAACACTCATTACTCATAATAATTTTTCATTTTGTATTATCTACGTATTTGTGTGTGATGAGTGTTCAGGCACAGGCACCTTTATATAAGACTTTGCAATACACAATTTACTAAAAATATACACACGGTACATTGAAAATTGATCATCACATTTTTGTTAAGAAATATATTCTTATTTTCGATTAAATTAAAGATGTTCATGGTGACAGCTAGATGGTGCAAACTAGAATAATAAATCACTGGTAACAAAACATTTTTTAGATAAAACAAAGATGGTAAATACATAAACAATTCTTTTTAAAAAAAATTTTTTGAATTCACTTTTTCTATTAACTACATAACATACTTACATAAGAAAAATTAATTTTTAATCCGTTTTTCTTAAAACTAATAATATAAATATACCTATGTATTCACCTAAATTACACAAAATTGTTTAATTTTCTTTTATTAGAGATTAAATTGCTTACTTATTTAAACTGTCAAAACCTTAATATTAGTAGGTAATTATATTTTAGTAGGTAGATTAAAGTACATTTGCCACAGGCAACAAAATAAAGTTTAAAATTTTTACAAATTAAAAATACTTCGTAAGTGTCGAATTCTTTTTTCTAATGTTTGTATCCCTTTATCCCTGATGATCTCGTTCTTCGACTAAGTAAATGTAGGTAAATGATTTACGTTATCCTTTTCTCGTAGCCTATTACTTCTGCATCCTTCGATGCAACATTTTCAGGGCAGTTCTATTTATATGAAGGTAATTAAATATACTATTATATGTTATATAAATATGATTACAATAAAAACTTATAAGAGTAGATCTTATAATCTTACTAATTTATTAAGTGATTTTTTACTTAACTAATAATACTGACTTTTTAAAAAAATTTTAGTATTATTTTTTTCAAAATCTTCATTTTTCATACTGAAGTTTCATACTGAATAGTACGACAATAAAAAAAATTTAATAAATTAATATATAAATATTCAATTTATTTAATAACACAAATAATTATTATAATTATTCACTAAATTTAAATTAAAATTAAATTTTAAACAACAATTAAATTATTTTACCGCTCAGCGACATAGCCTTCCTACGAAATTTATACATGGACTAAAAAAATGCTATAGTATCTTTTTTTATATAAAACTTTATCCTATAGATACAAATGCAAAAATATTTACATGCCTTGTGCATTATAGGAGTTTATGGTTAGGATGCCGCACATAAACAAAAAAAAAAATTAAAAAAATAAAAGCTGACTGCAAATTGTACTTCCAGCATTTTCGCTTTAATAATAATTTTAGGTATAAGTTGGGTATAGGATTTTATATTAAATTTTAACAAAAATTATATTTTAGGTTTTTTCGATTATTATTTCCCTAAAAATATAAAAAATAAAACCGTTAAGTCGAAACATGTAAAAATCTAAACAAATAAAAATTAACATAATTCATAAACAGAAACTAACAGTGTAAAAACGCATGGCGTTCAGGTTAATTTAATTATTATGATGAAAATAATTTTTTTTCCAAACTTTTTTAGTTATATGTATAGTTTAAGATAAAAAAAATGAAATATAGCTGTTGAAATAAAAAAAATAAAATGAACATATCGTGTAAAAAAAAATACATTTTTTTATAAAAGAGACGGTGTGAAACTATAAAAGAAGTTCTGTGCTGACGCTCAATGCATACTCGTGTAAACATGGCCATTATTATATTGATGCACACAAAAATATGTACATATATATTTTATATGTACATATTTTTGTGTGCATTCAACGATATATGAAGTTTAGTTCATAGTTGCCACTAGTGTCATTTATCACCATTCACCATATCTTCCTATTCATATAAAAGCAAAAATATATTGAAGGCAAATTAAAATATATAATTTATAATTATATATTTACGATTATCTTAATATTGATATATATGTATATATTCATATACAAATTAATATATATATAATATATATGGTTTATTGAAATATGAATATTTATTGTGTTGCGTTGCTCTATAATAGTAAAATTAGTTTTAAAAGCTGAACATTTTAATAATTCACCTTCATATAATTAAATCACGTCCTAAAAGTGAGGTGAGTTTTTTTCTTTAAGTTTTTGTGATTTGATTTTATTTACTTTTTTTTTTAATTATTTGAAATTATTTTGAAAAAATTTTTGAAAAACTACAATTTAAATAGAATTTTTTTGTGCTCGGTCTTTTTTTTTTTTCAAAAAATTGGTTAAAAGGAGAGTGTACATATTTATATTAATTAGTTACTATGCATGTATATATTTTTCAATAAAAATTTTAAATACTTTAGAAGCAAGTGGGCAGCCCTATACTAACAATTTGATAAAAAAGAAAATCATAATTTTTGTTTCTGAAAGAAAAATTTTTAAGGATATGTGCATATAGTTTTTGAAAAAAAATGTTATATATAATTAATATCAAAAATTTTATTTAGATTAGTCTAATTTATAAAAATATAAATATATATTTGTTTTTAAATTTGCCAAAAATTATAAGTTATAAAGTGTGAGTGCAAATTAAATATTTTCATCAAAAGATATCGAAAACAATAACAAATGAAAAAAAACTCCACGTTTCATTATTTTACAGTTGTAGGTATCTTACCTACCTACCTGCCCCCACCACTTACAACGTGTTATTTAATTTTTTATTAATGTTAAAAAGAAAATCACTCTTTTCTCCTCTATTTACATTTTGCTAAAAAAACATCATCAAAACAGTAGATTAGATGTCATGTCAATACAAAATTTTATAAATTAAAAATTGTGATAGAGAAAAAGAGAAAGAAAGAAGAGAGAAATTTTTTTTTACAGATAATAACCATTTTTGACAATCAAACAAAACGTATACATATTTATATACTCTTGTAGTGACAAATAGAATTTTTTTATTTTTTTTTTTTTATTGCTATAAGTTTAAAATATGAAAAGGATGAAAATATTAAGAACAATTGTGTGTGTATTTTGGGCTTAATTAAAATTTTTATAAAATAAAGTAATTATATTTCTAATTTCTATATAAATCAATATTTTTTAATTGTGTACATAATATCGTGGAGCTCCGTAGTCAAATCAGCGTAAGTCAATAAAATTTTAATATTAACAAAAATTGATTTTATTGACAACAACAAAATATGTAATGATGAACAACGTTGAGTTGGCAAACAAATTTTTTATAAAAAATATAAACACGCAAGCACGTACGTACCTTTTCAGTCGAAAAGCTTAAGAATAGCAAAGAAACGAAAAGAAAACATAATTTTTACATTCCAGTAAAGTCATGTATTATGATTTTAGTTATTAACCATGTACTCGTATAAGATAAATTTATTTGACTTCATTTCTCTATTTTATTTGACAAAAATATATTAGCATGTTTTCATTCAATATTTTAATAGATAAATTGAAGTATGTATAATTGTAAGGTAACCAAGCTATAATATCTTGAATAAGAGATTAGATTAGGTATTTAGTTATTCTAGTATTTATATCTTAAGTAATTTAGGTACAACTAATAAGGTATTACATTAATCAAATACAGCTAACTACAAAGATGCAAAACTGCATTAAAAATCTACATATTGTGTATAGGTACTCGTATAAATCAAATAACAAAATTTTATTATTTCAAAAAATAGTGAGAATTATCAATTATAATTTTTTTTTTGCAATATAATTTTAATATTTTGCTGTAAATATAAAATTTTTATACAAAAAAAAAAATTTGTTCAAAGGATTCAAATTCAAATTATGAAAACTGTTACTTCAAAATTGCAATAATTTTTGCATACATTTCAGCAATTTTGATTAAAAAATCAAAAGCTTAATTATGTTTTAAGTACAAGTTGATTTCAAAATTGCAAGTTAATTGCTGAATTTTACTACTGAAAGGACTTACAATATTGTTGCAATTTTAAACGTTATTAAATGTATTTACCTTAAGAATCTGCATAATAAAATTACTAGATCTTATATTTCAAATATTTTCTAAAAAATTGTAAAAAGTAAAAATGTTTCAATTAAACATAGTAAAAAATTCAATGTAATTTTTGATTAACATAATATGCCATAATTTTATTAGTATACAGGTTCGATTTAGAGATATAGGCTAGAATTAGATTACAATAGAGTGAAGAAAACAATTAACGACAACATTATTGTCTTGCCACGTACAAATTTTGTCAATGAAAAACAAACAACTGCTGTTTTTTATCGGTTTGGAAGCTTTTTTTTGTTTGTTTTCTTCGTTCTTTTACTTTCTACTATCATAGTATAATCACGGTAAATTTAAAATTATCAATAATAATTATACAAAACAAAAATTTAAAATTCAAATTTTTGAGTAAATCCAAAATTAATTGATTTTTTTTTATTCTATAAAGATTGTTATTTTTAAATAAAAATTGCAAATACTTATGAATGAAATGGCAATTGAATGATCTTGTGATCAGAAAGAAAAATACAAAATTTTCAGTCTGCAAATTCTCAATTTGATTTCTTTTTATTCTAATAGAGTGTTACAAATTGACAATAATATTAATAAAATTAAATATGCAGTATTGCATTTATTTAATTATGCAAACGATATTCGTTATATTGTGATAATTTAAATTGAATTTTCATAGTGTGATTTTCATTTCAATAGTGTTGATCTCATTCAATTTTACGATTTTGGTTATAAAAAGTAAGTGTCGTTTTATACATACATCCAAACTGCTAATTATATTAAATGTCGAAACTCAGTAATCAGAGTTTTAAAATAATAAAAAACGGTTTAGAATTGAATTTTGAATATTTGTTAAGTTCTTTAGTGATTTGTCAGTGCGAAAAAAAAAACCAAAGAAAGAAAAAAAAGAAGGAAACAACCACGTTATAAAAAAAAATAATTTTTTTTTGCTGCGCAATAAAGATTAAAATTTGCGTGCAATAATTTTTGTTAATGTAACGTTTTACGTTGTAGTGCTGGAATTTTGTAATAACGTAAAAGTTACGGTTCTACTCTAGTCCAGAAGTGAGGTCCTCACTTATAACCTATGGGGGCCAAATTTAAAGTAACAATAAATAAAGAGGCCGCAAAAGTTTCAATGCTCATAAATACAGCTTTTATACAGTTATTGCTGTGCAAATTTTTTTTGATTTTAAATTCAGTTGTTACACATTCCAAAATAAATTTTTTTTTATTATGAAGTCAATATTCTTTTTATGCATACATATATACAAAAATTAAGGACAGTGAAAAGATAATAATTAAACATAAATGACGGCTTCAAATTCATTGTTTAATAAATGTAATTCAAGTTAGACTATATTCAGTGAGATATTTTAAATGGCATACAAATACAAAAGGTGGCGGCAGATTCCCCACTTCTGCTCTAGTTTAAAAATGTCTATTTTAAAAGCGTAAATTTCTAAATAATTTGAAAAAACATTACTACTTAATAAATATGTTACAAATAAGTCTTTTGATTACCGCTACAGTGGCTTGCATAAAGAACTATTCAATATTTGTATTCTATATATTGACTTACCTACTGTTTTTCATGTTTCTAAGAAGTAGTGTACATGATCTAAATTTTTGAGGTCCATAAATAATATTCCAGTATTTGTTTTTTAATTTTTAATAAAATTTAAATTCCAAAAGTGAATGTTGTAACTTCCTACAATATTCCATTCCATAAATATCGGACTCGATCTTTTCAATAATATGAAAGTTTTAAGGTTATAGTTGAAGCTTTAAAATTATTCTAGAAAATTGTACATTCAAATTGGAGTAATACTGCATTATTACATTTTTCAGCAATTATTTGAATAATATGGTAAATAACCTTCCTTATCTTCAAAGTTGAAGTGAATCTATATTGCTACACTTCTTAGCACAACTCACAGTCTGAATTGTGTATTAATACAGTATATTACTGCAATCTTGAAGTCAGAGTGAGAACTTTTTATTATTAAATTACTGAAAAAAAATAAAACAATTTTTAAATTTGATTACTTATTTTTTTTGTTTTTTTTTTCTTACAGGAAGATTCACAGTAACTTTTGAAGAGCCATCGTTGCCCCGAGAATAAAACGTACAAAAAAAGTCAAGTGGTGTTAGGAATAATTTGAGAAGATAGAAAATTAATTTTGTTGTAGTTTTCCTTTTTTGTTTTATTTTTTTTTCTAAATTTAAAAAAAAAATAAAAAATGGCACCAAAACAGAGAATGAGAATTGCTAATGAAAGAGCTAGCAAATATGTTACAATGAGGGGAAACGTACCAAAATCATCTGTAAGTAGAAAAAAAAGAAAAAATGAAGTAAGAATGAGTTCATGTTACCATGTTTCTATCTTATAAATGGAATCTCAATCAATTTTAAAGCGCAGTCCATTTTTGGAAACGTATTTATTATAACATTTTTTTTTTTGTATTATAACACTTGTTATAAATGGGTGTAAAAACATATATAGTAAAAACATTCTGTTTTTTTTTTAACTTCTATCTTCCATCGATCGAGTATAAAACTATGAAGTGTATAAGATTTGGAATTGGTAAGGGGACTTGCTAGCATGAGCTTAATTGTAATTATGTACAATTAATTACATCATAATATAGTCGTGATCATTGAGTATTTGTTTAAATAATTATTTAAACAAATAATTAATGGTGTTTGTTTTAAACAATTATCAGTTTTATAAAAAAAAACTTGCAAAATAAAATTTTATTTTATGTGTATATATATTCTAATTCGTGCTTTGTTTTTAGAAGGCAAAGGAAAATCAATACCCTGTTGGACCTTGGCTTTTGGCATTATTCATTTTTGTTGTTTGTGGATCAGCAATATTTCAAATAATTCAATCTATTAGAATCGCGTAAAATTATAAATAAATGTATGATTATAAATATTCTTATATATAAGTATAAATATGTTTATATAAATATATATATTTGATAACTAATCTTTTATATTTTATATATAAATATATATGTGTATTTGTATGTATAAATATGCATTTCCGTTTTTTCTTTTTTTTTATGTAATGAAATGTCTAAACTTAATTTTTGTTTAATAAAAATTTTTTATAATAAAATATTTTTTAAATAACTAAAAAAAAGGAAAATTTAAGTAATTTGAATGAAATAAGAAAGTGTAATTAATTATGGAATACATTTAGCTTTCTTTTCAGCCTGATTTCTTAGGTATGCATATAAAAGAGGAATATTTAAGACAACTTTCAATTTTAAAATCTCATAAAAAGATAATAGTTTCCAACCCAAATTGACAACATTCCGTGACTTCAACAATGCGCTTACGACGTAAACTTTACAAAGTATGTATCACATTCCAAAATGTTTAGTAAAGCTCTTGGCAATGTACACTTTTCCAAAATGTGGATACGTAAAATAAAAGTAAATTGCGTATAGAGAAAATTGAGCACGCTTTTTTTGTACAAGTCATATTAATGTTGCCAGAAATAACAAATTAAATAAAATAGTATATATTTTCAGCAATAAAGTGCTAGTTATTAAGTTTTTTTTCCTAAAATGCAGCATAAAAATGCTATGTTATTATGATGTAGTAACGTTTGTTGAAAACTAACATTTGGACAGAACTTTAAATTAAAATTTTCAAACAAACAGTTTTTTTTTACAATGTAAAAGTATTAAAAGCTCTGAGACGATTTTACAATCGTATTAAAACCGTACTTAAAGTTTTTATCACGGATTCCGCGACTTCAATAATGCGCTTAAAACGTAAATTTTTCTTTAAATGAGAATTCTTTTTCTTTTTGCGATAAATTACATCATTGTTTCCCTTTTTAAGGTTTTTCCAAGTTTTATCCCAGACAGAACTAATATAAGTTTATGCAAGGTTTTTACTTTTCAAAAAATTTTTTAAAATGTAAAAACAATGAAAAAGAAATATTAAAGGAAAGAGCATTCAATTCCCCTTGCATTCTCTTAGAAATCGTACATGTACGTATTTAAAAAAACACGGTGAAGTTAAAAATCTCACAACTAAGGTTTTTTTTATGATTTTATTCTTTTTCCATTTTTCACGATTTTAGTTTTCTTAATACCGTCCATTTTATATGAAATACTTGGAAACTTCAAACATTTTTATCCCGCTGTTTGAGCTTTAATTTAAACCTTTAAAATTTAAAAAATCTACGGTTGAAGCTAGGTTCGAGGGAGGTAAGTAAAGCCCCCGTTACCAATTTGGCAATGGTTGATCCAAAGAGAAAGCTAGGCAATATTTGCCATCAATATTTTTTCAAGATGCTCCTTTAGTTATTCTAATTCATTGATAAAAACTTTATAAAAATAATATTCGTCACATCTCTAGTAGAAAACCTTTTGATATTAAAATAAAAAACCTTTTGACATGATTGACAGTAAAAACGAAGTATTGGCTCCATAAATTCAAAATAAAATCAACATTTCTTTTTGTTTTATGTGCCTTCTATAGAAATAGATGTGTGAAGCTGTCCACTCAGTCTCGTCTACAGTTAGTTATATACTGTACGACAAAATTTACGATGTCACAGTATATTTCACAGTCTGATGAAAGTCAATAAGTTATGTATGCAAACTTTATTTGACATCAGACTTAGTCTGACACCAATAATACAAATTACTCTATTCTCATCAGATTTTTAAAATGACAACAATAAATTAATGTTTTACCGAAGTTAGTAAAAACGATAAGCTGATTTTGTTTTTGGTTACAGCTTTTGTAGCAAACGCACAGCTGACAGACATATTTTTGTCAATAGCAAGTGTTAAATTTTTATGTACAGTTTGATAAAATTTTAATCTGCTATATTAGCAGGCTGTTGCACAATATAAAAAAATACGAAAAAGTAATTGTAATACTCGTATTTGCAACATGAACTTAGCTACATAACTTCAGTTGTAACTACTATGTGAATCCACTATGTTAAGTTTAAACTTCGGATAATATAAATTATTACACTCAATAATTCTACTGAACGGAAACATGAAATTTTAATTAATATAAAATATTATGATTATGACGTATTGTGGATGTAAAAAACTTCCGTAACAACATTTTCGGTATTTTTAATTACTTGTTTGGAATGACCTACCAACTTTTAAAAGAAATACAACAAGACATACTGCTAAAGTGCATATAATGGTAATCCTATAAATAATATTGTACACTCTTTACAAAATCGCCATGCATAACTAAGGTATGTACCAAAATTAAATAAATATTATTATACAGTAATTTAAAATGCTTGAAAAGCAAAAGCAAAAATTTTAACAGTAAAGCTCGACAGTATAGCAAAATTACTACAAGATTAAGAAACTGGAAAGTTTAATATGTACATATTTCTTAAAAAACTTCACTTTACTCTATTACAGCGCACTTTCGTAAAACTGTCAAACTTATTTACTTAAAAAGGATAATATTGATGAATTTGTTGTTTTTGTTCTTATTCTTGCTTTTTTTTCTTATTGTTATTATTGCAAAAAATAAACAACGTATATTTTCCATCAATAATCTTAAATTTCCAATTACAAATTTTTATTATATAGATAATTTATTAATAAAATCACAAAAAAATATACAAAATTGAGTAGATAAAAAGAAAACTTGAAGAGAATTAAAATAAAAAATTGGTAACTTTGGTCACCTACCTAACTAGCTACCACAAATTTTTTTATAACCAATAGATTTTGTTTTATAATTTTGAAACATTTTTCAAACAAAATAAGAAATTTTTATAAAATATGGGAAGTTCCTGGTCAAATCATCAAAATATTATAAAAAAAAATCAAGAATATATTTCCGAAATGAATCGAATAAAAGTGAGTAAATCTAATTATGTTTATAGCATGTATGTACCCATATTTTCACTAATTGTTTGTTTGTGTTTTTACTATCGAATAAACTTATATATGTATGTATAGAATAAGGAAAATTATAATTTGTAAATTTCATTGTAACTCAGTATGCACTTATGTACATATATTACATTTTAGTACGGTATATACACAGGCATCTTTATATATATACATTACATTATAGGAGTTTAAGGGAATATGGGTATACAATATCTTATGATATGTAACTATCTACAAGCAAACATAAATATATTTTTAAACTTTTTATCTAATAGAATAGTTAATTTTATTGTTAAACAGTTGGGTATTTACCTAACAATCTACTGGGTAAAAGTAGAATATGCTTTCCTTACACCTTTTACATGTAGAATATTACCTGGACCTGCAAGGATATAATGTATAGAATATACCACCAGTAATTTTCAAATTCATTTCAGGAAAATTAAGCTTAAAATTTGAGCTTAGCAAAATTATTCTTGCGTATTCAACATTGAATTGAATTTAGAAAGAATGAAATATATTTAATTCAGTTTATGATGTAGAAACACATTTTTAGACAAATTCAAAACAGAGCAGAATTTTCAGAAAAAATTTTCTATAGAAGCAGTGTTTTCTTGTTATATTTTATAGAAAACAAGTTCATATTAAAGAACAGTTTTTAAACCGTCTTTAAACTTAAGATTTTAATTTTTTTTACTAGATTGCCAAAATAATATCTAAAAGTGTTTAAATATTTAACAAAAAAAATTTTAAAAATTTTTAGATCTGTAAAATTTACATTCCATTTAACGTTAAATAAGATATAGAACGTGAAACATTGTTGCGAAAACGTTGTTTTCATCATATGGAGACCATAGTTTTTTATACTTGATATTCAAATGCATCGAAACACTTTATGAAAGTTGTTTATGATAAGTGCATTGGTGCATTTTTCCTTGAAATATTTTTTGGATAAGAATATTTACATAATTTAATTTGAAATTTACTTGTACAACATTTAAAAATACATACAATAATATGATTGTGTGATCATATTTATTTGATATATCGATTAAAAGTAAAATATTTTACTTTTTTATCTATACATATATAAATTAATTAAATTTTTTATTATGTGGTATGTTATATAAATTTATATAATAATATATATATAAATTTTTTATTATATTTTTTTTCAAAATAGATGGAACGCTGGATACAAATGCATTATCAAATAAAAGAAAGGGAACACGCCTTAAAAATAGCAAAAGATCGTGAATTATTTTTTTGGTTAAGCGGTTTCTATATATTATTTACAATAAATGCATTGGCTAGATATAAGCGTACCAAAAGGAGTGGTGTATTAGGACCATTATTACCTTTAACATTTATAACAGCTTATTATGCTGATTTAAGTTATGGTAGCAAATTACATAGAATTCGAGGTAACATATTATGTTTTGTATCTTATAAGTATTTAAATTGTGGTCTACTTGTAAATTATATAGCTTACAGAAAATTAGATAAAATTCATAAAAATAAAATTTATGCTACTTATATATACTGAAATTATAGTATAATTTACTATAGCTATACCGTACAGGATATGTGAAATTCAATGATATTCTAGATGCAGGTTGATAATTATAATTTTCTTTTGCTTTAAATTTCTTTTTTGGCTTCTGCGGGCATCGACATAATATGTACATATATATGTATGTACCTACATAAGTATGTAGATCGAAAATTTTTAGATGAAATAATCTTTGTCATTTATTATAGTAAATGTAAGCCAACATTTTTATATGCTAAAAATGAAATCATTTAATAATTAAATTTTGAAACTTAAAATATTTACTTACCATAAGATTTGAAGAAATCTAAATTTTTTTAGTTTTGAATAAAATTTTAAGATTAACGATTGTGGTCATAGAACAATTTATTTTATTGTATTTTACTATCGGGAATTCCTTTTCTTTTTAATAATATAAATTTATTTGCTAATATCTCAGAAAAATATTAAAATAGGTACAAATTAAAAAAAATGGCTGCTCCAGGCTTCTTTTTTAAAACTCTTAATTTTAAATTTAATTATGAGTTAGGTTGATCTCGTTTTAACTCGATGTGTTAGAAAGAAACGAAACAAAATGCATTATATTTCATAATTTGTTCTTTTCTAACATTTTGTTGAGGGAAATACTTTTTAGTGAGAGTATAAAAAACAAATTGGTTTTATTTTGGGTTTTTTCTAAATTTATTATTGGGTTGGATACACTATCGATGGGAACGCGTAATAATATTGTACACAGATATTATATAAAAGTCACCACAAGATTTTTCAATTTTTAGTTTTTTCAACTTTTTCATAGATGACTTAAGTAATGTGCAATGCAATCTTGCTTCCACAAATAGAATATATTAGAAACTCTAAGTACTGTTTACATACATATACGACAAAATGTATGATTAATTTTACGATAAAATAAATAATTATCTGATGATTACTATTTTCACCACAATTTTATAACTTACCATCCTACCGGCTTTTTTTGTGTTTTCTTTAACTTATGATTTTAATTTAAGAATTAAGGTAAAATGGTGGTGTTGTAAATTGTAATTGCAACAGCCAAGTAAATAAATTTTATAAATCAACATTCATTTCATGGCAATCAAATGGTAATCAAATCGTAATCATGGTAAAAAAATTTAAAAAAGTAAAACGAAAATTCTTGCTGTGACTAGCTGTTTCTCGAAAACTATGGCTCGAATCGAATTATTTTTAAGACCAAAAATAAGGAACAACCAATCGTCTGTAAAACAAGCTCATAATGATGACTCTATGTTGAACGGTTCCGAATATGCAAGCATTTATTTATATGCAGGAAAAGTTCGGTACCTTTTTTTGTCAACAGGCTATAGCTCGAAAACGAGTATATCTAGTAGATGTACATATCTAACTATTATATGCATAATTTACATTGTCATTAAGAACTTTGCTTATTTCTTTATTTTTTTTTTTTTTCATCTACATATTTCTGGAATATCATTGTATTTTAAGACATTCTGTATTTAATGTACTAAGTTTCAAATATTTTATATTAATTTTTTTAACTTATGGGTATATATATATATATAGCTGAAGCTGATATGATATTGCAACATGAACAAGAGCTATTAGAATGGCCAACAGGTATACCAACAGTAGCTAGTATTGATGAAGCTAGGGTTGAAGTTGAAATGGAACATAAAATGCATCCACATGCACCTTAAACTGCACAAAAAAAAGTTTTATTATTTAGTGATATTTCGAAATGGTTATATACATTATAAATATATATATGTAATTATGTTATACTATAACATGACTCAAAATCGTTGTAATAAATGATTTTTAAGAGGTACTCACTTCACCGCTCAATTTATAACTGCTGAATTGAGTATATAATATTTCTGCAATTTTGAACTTATACAGTATAATAAACATATATATATATATATATAAATATACGTATTATAAGGATAATAGTAAGGACAACTAACCGTAACAAATATAACAACCGCATATAAATATTTCTTCTGTTTTAAAAATGACATCAATATAGAATATTATATAAAGTAAAAGTATTATTTATAACATTTATATATTTTTAACATACTATGTAACTATGTAAATGTTATAAACTAACAGTATTATTAGTAAAAGTATTTATTTATGTACGTGTATTATGTAACATAAATAATATACTCTTGCATGTAAGAGTACTAAGCTGTAATCGATAATAGTCGAATGATATATTTCCAACTGCAGAGTATTGTAAGCTCTACATTTAATTCGTAGAACAAGCTTTAAATACTATGTTGTTTGCAATTGTAACTGAAATTATCGATCTATACTAATGATATAAGTACATGCTAAAAAAACGTAGCTTTATATAGCTAAAAATAGCTTTGCATAGATTGTATTCTGGCAATGGAACTGCAGTAAAACCGTATTGTGACTGCTACATAAATGTGTTCATAAGTGGAAGGGTTCGAAAAATAATCAGTGTAAAGGTATACCGAGATAGTATTTTGAGTACTCCAAGAGTGTATAATTTTCTTACAATAACTGATTTTTAAACAGAAAATCAGTCAACTAACATTGATTGAATTTTTAAGTCCCCCAAGCGTTAACTGCTGAACGTTTTTTAGCTGTACTTATATTTATTATTGTAAATTTTGATCGAGAGAATAATATATTTAAACTAAAAATAAAAAATATATGTAATAGATTTTATATTTTATAATAAAAATCTAATAAAAATTAAATGCTAAATTTTGGAAATTTGTATAAATGTATGAAAACGACATTACACTTTTTAATTAATATTCAAGAAACGTTCAAGAAATTATGAATTCTACAAAAATATAATTATTCCGTAAATATAATAATAAATAAAAGCTTTACAAATATTTTAAAATTATAGTAAATAAATAGCAAATTTTATTATAAAATTTATTTAAGTAGGCCATTTCCCATTGTATAAATGTATTTTAATAAAAATTTTTATATGAAAACTATGGACAGCCGAATACGTTTATGTGCACATTCTTTTGGGCAGAATTTCGGTACATATGTTGCCGCATTATGCAGTTATTCTTTTCCTATTTATGATTAGAAAAATCACATGTTTCTGTTGCAAATAAGCGTGTTCGACTGTAAATATATGGTTTCTTATAGTTTTTGTAATTTTTCAAAAACAATCTTACTTCTTACAAGAAGTTTACAAAAAATTCTTATTCTTACAATAAGTAAGTACTTATAGGTATTTTCTTCTTTCATATATTTAGATAGAACCAAATTAACATTCGACATATAAAACTAAAATTATTATATAATCACATTTCTAGAATTATTTTTTTCTAGTTTTGATGGTTAAAGTATTTCAATTAAAGATACAATAAAATTTTATGGAAGAATAATATAGAAATATATTTTTTTTATTTGAATTTTCATTTACTCCTAAAGGATTTTATTCTCTGTATTTTTGCTTTATTTAATTCATACGGAAATGAAAAAGAACATCACGTACCCTGGCTTCCACATTGTAAAAAAAAAACAGCTTTTAAACCACTATGTAATGTTCAAGTAGAAAAGTGTACAATACGAATGTTTAGTGGAAAGCCATAGCTTTTAATCGATACTTTTAAAATTTTCAATTAGTTTGAAAGTGACTAAGCAAAAAATGAGTAATTGCAGAATGAAACCTTTAATTTTTTTGATAATTAAATGAAACGTTTAATTAAATTATATTGAAATTTTAGAAAATTTATAAATTTAAGGGTTTCCATTCACATGTCAATAAATCATATAATTAGAAATTTGAATATTAAAAACTTTATTGCTTATATAATTCAAAAAATATTTTAAGAAATATTGGAACTATTTTAAGAGTGTTAATGGAAATAAAAAAGTTTTTCCTTCGTTATTTACTGTACAAATAAAATTCTTAATTCTTTTCTATATCTAAATGTGTTTATCTTGTATCTGTAACTAAATTACAAATGTATATGCATATATTGTCGTTGCATTAATAGAGTTAGGCGAATTGTATATTAAATATTTAGGTAAATATTTTATGGAATAACAATTTTTGCTATATAAGTATTCATTGTTATTATTTAAATTTGATAATCTGAAGATATCTGGATAACCAGAATGGCTTATGATAATTTTAAACAAATTTTTAATAATCTTTTTCGCCTTTTTAATCATTAGCGATCGGCAACAAATACCGCGCGACTTCAAACAGTTCTGTTCTCTTTACGATACAGAACATTAAAATTTTTTATGCCCGTACGTACGTATGGCACATTTACTCGCACATAGGATAAAAGAGTCGTATGGGTATCACAGAGTTGACACGGTCAACTCTATTTTCTCTCGTTTTTTTTTTGCTGTTGCAACGACAATATTTACAAAATTTTAGTAATACTACAGGATTAGTATCACAATTCAGCTTATCCGTTATAAATAGGTTAGTTGTATATAGCAATATTCTCAATATATATACAAATTAAAGTCTCAATTTTAAAAATTGCAATAATACTGTATTGCTATACAATTCAGAAGTTCATTACAATGCATAAGCTGTTTTGTATACAATCACTATATTATTATTATAATTATTGCAATTTAGAAGTCATTTAAATTCATTTGATTAAATTAGAAATACATACAAACTTAATAAATATATTTAAATAGTTAACACAATAAATAAATTTTAAGAAAAAAATAAAAATTGAACATATTCTTATGTGTAAAATTATTATAAAAATATTAAAGAAGCACAAGAATAACACACAACAATAATTAAATTTTAAGTATTATATAAAAACAGAAATTTGTTATAAAAAAAATAAAAAATTGTTATAAAAAAAAAAAATTCGAATTAATTACAAATTATAAATTAATAATTTTTACTAATTAATTGTTTAATATTCAATAAATATGTTCAAGGTGATTCAGTAATTCATTAACTATAACACTCTGTGTACATAAATAATTACAAATCCTAAAAAATTTAAATATGAAAAAAAATTTTTTTTTGCTCAATAAACTTATAATTGGCAATATGTTTTAATAATTAATTTTAAATTAAGAAGTTAGAATTGAGTATGGGATTAAAGATTCCACCAAAATCCACCAAACACTATACGATTGCCCTTGAGTTTGTGGGTCCTACTCAAGATCTGTCTCATCGCAATAAAATGAAATCTTGTCCAGATATGTTCTTAAAGAAAAATGATTCACAGCGAGTTTCATACCTAATTTTCATACATATATGTACACTTCTTTTTACTCTGATGTACATAAATATGTATTTGATATTATTTACTAAGGGAAAATGAAGTTGAGTGTTTGTGTACATTTAGTAATATATTGAAATATTATTTAATAGAATAGACTTTTTTAATGAGGTCTAAATAATTTAAAGTGGAAAAATTATATTAGACATTTTTACCCATTTATATCAAATTTTTTTTTAGAAAATTAAGAAAATTTTATGTGAGGGGTTACTCTTTTTCAGTATTGCCAAAATTGTGATGTCTGTGTCGTCAAATTAAGTATAAAAAAGTGGATTGCCAAAATTTATTAAATTGAGGTTAAAAATTTGCTAATTTTGCAAAAAAAAAAAATGCCTTGCCACTGACTGACTATCATTTTTTTTGTTGTCCGTTTTTTTTTTTGTTCTGTTTGAAATCCTATGATAAATATTATGTATATTTTATAAAAAAAAATTTATTTGGAGTAAATTATGTTGTCATTACGATTATTTAAAAAAAAATGACCATTTTTTGTTTGCTTTAAAGTTTTTCTTGCATAAATTGAATAGATTGCGCTTGAAATCAATTTTAGTCACAACACAAAAATGAAATGAAGAAAATTAAAATTGATTTCAAATTTTATAAATCATTGCATACCTGTATATAGTTTCTATTATTATACTTTTATTTATATTAGTTATCTGTGAGTTTGAAATTTGTAGTATTTCGTATTGTAAAAAACCGGTAAACTTATACGCTGTCCGAACTATATGAAATGTTTGCTTTCAAAACGGAGGGAAAACCAAATCGTATATTCGATACGATAAGTATTATTAGAGTCATTGCAGTGTCATTGTGTATAATGATTTTTGATTTAAATATACGATTTCAAAAATTCGTTTTTGACAATACAGAAAAGTGTCAACTACAATTTTTAAACTGGAATTGTGTTTTTAATATTGGCAATTGCTAAAATTTGGAAGTCAAGGTTTCTTTTCGTATATTATGCACCACCGCCTAAAATTTACATTTATAAACTTGTTTGTTTATTTGGTATTTTTCTGATTCAAATTATTTCAGTAGCGCCTTTAAAATCTATTTTTGATGTTCTATATATGTATACATACGTGAAAGCAAAATGTTCAATTTTACTCAATTCTATATTTATTATTTTATTTAGTCAAATAATATAATTTTGAACTGTTAAATATTGTATATGATTAAAAATTTTATTAGCACACAAAATGATTAATATTTTAAGCAGCAAACAAAATAAGTTTATCTCAAAAATTAGTGTGTCGTACTTGTAGATTGAAAAATTTAAATTTTTTATGGACATTTTTCATTTCTTTTTCATCATAATTTTTTTTTTTAACAGACGCGTACGCACATTAAAATTCCACAGTTAAAATTCATTGTAATTTTACGCGCTTTTTTTTTCTTTTATTTTATTTTGTTACAATTTCATGAGCATATTACGTTAAAAATTGTTAATGTTTTATTTAATTTTTTTTAAACAAATTAATAAATAAAAGAAAACAAAAAAGGTAAAAAATCTCTTAAGAAATTATTTTGTATTCGGGGCTATACGGTTTGGAATAACAATAAAGGTAATTGTCATACTATATAAAGCAATTTTTATTCTAGTGTGATAATCGTTTATTTTGTGTTTGCTTCCCAAATAACAAGAAATATTGATATAAAAAGCAAAAAGTAATGAAAATGTTAAAAAATATGCATGGATTTTTGACATGAAAAGCATATTATGGGGCACAGTTCGTTTAACGAAAGTTGCATTTTATTAGTGAGCTACGATAGAAGCGACAAAACTCTCTGACTTAAAATTTATATTTATAAATTAATATATAAAATTCAGCTTATGAACTGTAATTACTGAATTGTGTATTAACGCAGTATTGTAAAATTAGCAAAAATAATTTATGCTAGTCAAAATATGTATATATGTAATATGACTCTATATATTTTGTTCTGAAAACATATAAAAATAAGTTGTATTGCGCTTCTCATTTAATATATTCAATGATATTTTAGTTGTTTTTCCCCTTTTCTCAATAATATACACATATATAGTAATTAACATATAAAAGTGTGTAATGCCGTCAAATGTATATATATATATATATATATATATACGTATGATATTTTTAAATAGACGATTAAACAAAATATTCAATTCACGGTTAGTATTTTTAAAATGGTATGTAATTATGGAGATTCGTCTTCAAGAGCGGCGCAGCAATAAGAGTTGTGTAACTTTTAATTAGCATTTTTTGATGATTTGCGTAAAATAATGTCAATATTTATGAAAAAAAAAAAAACAAAAAAAAGTTTGTTATTTCTTCTAATAAAGTGAAATGTGTGTATTTAATATTTTTGTTTTAAAGGCTTAGAAACAGAAAAAGTAGTAAATGTTTATTTGATTAAATTTTTATTTGGTTCTTCATAAAGAAACTTTTCATTTCATTTACATTACTTCTTACATACAGTAATACCTGTTTAAGTGCGTCTCAAAACAATCCAATTTTTGCACTTATCCGAGTAGAGTTCTTAACAGAACTCGTTAAACTGCGCAAACAAAAGCGAGTTTTCAATAATGTACATACATACATAATAATATATATGTTCATAAATTTAAAGAATTTCCTCCTGTTTTTTATATACTTAAATTAATTTAAATTTTATTTGACGTATTTAGACGTATGTATGCGCATTCTATGAAAACAATTTATTTTTCAAAAACTTTGAGGCAGCAAAGCTATTAATTTTAGAACATATTGAGAAAAATGTTCTAAATAATTATTAACTTTATTTAACCGATTTTTTTGACGTTGAATTTAATCGAGAAAGTAAAAAGTTGACGCACTTAAAGGAAGTTAACGTAGATAAGCCGGAAGCAGCTAAACGGGCATTACTGTATTTATATATAAAATTAATGTCGTTTTAGATTATATTGTATGTGGTATATGAAGCTGTTAAAATTGATCAATATCATCGATTATCGACAAATATCGATTATTTGTCGTTTTTTGAGAACGACATGGATAAAAAAATTTTTAAATTTCTGTTCTGGTTCACTTTCCCAGACCATTGTATTTAAAGCATAATATTATCACTATTGCTTATCAGAAAAGTTATATTTATTATTATTTCTTGGTATGCGATATATTATATAGAATGTAAAAATTTTGTAACACTAAAATAATTTCACATAAACTCAAAAAGAGATAGAGGAGCAAATTAAATTATCAAAACTATTATTCTAAATCGTACGAGTAGATGATCAGAATAGACAATATTTAATTTATTCAGCAATGTTATTTCGATGACTTAAACTATAGTCAGTAATTGACAAAAAAATTAAAATATAAGAAAAATTTTTAATATTTTCATATGTGATTATGTATTTATGTATATAACTAAATTTTTGTGTACCTTATACTCATATGACGGATGAGAAAACATTCACAAAAAGAATATTCACAAATCAGTATAGCTCAAAAATTATATATAGAAAATTTTAAATTAAGACCACATAGTTATATGGGGAGGTGGCGGTGACGTGATATGACAAAAAATTTTTATTTATTTTGTTTAAAGCATGGATTTACTAAATTCGTTAATTTCATAGAATTCTGGTAATGTTTATTTATATTACTCTATATTTTTATCTTAAATCCGGTTACATAATAAGTTAATCTTAACTTTAAAATTATTTCTTATGTGTTGTACGTCTATTAATTTTAATGGCATTTCTTTGATGTTTATGATTCATTTTCTTATATTCATGATGAGTATTTTTTTTTTGTAGTTTTAGAATATTTATAGAATATTTGTAAATGTAAGGATTTCAAAAAAAATATCAGCAAATAAATAAAATAAAGAACAAATACCACAAATAGCAGAGTATTAAAATATTAAAATAAATATAAACGTTTCAGTCGGTATAAACCGATTAAATTATACCCTGTAATTTTCATTGTTGCATAGCAATTACTCGAACATTGTGAAATAATTCTATAGAAAATTCACGGATATGTCTGACCTCTAATTGGACACACGAGAGCCAAGTTTAATGAATTTGACTTTATTATTTTTCCAAATATTTAAAATTAACTTTTGGACTTGTATGAGAGCTACCTAAACCTGTCAAGCAATTTCACCAAAACTTTAGAAATATATTTAACCTATAATTGAAAACAAGCCTGCGATGAATCTTAATGGCCACCCGAACCGGTGCAACCAACGGACGGACGGGTGAACGGACGTTGATTAAGTCAACGCAGAATTTTACGCTGAGCAAGAATATGTATATATATCAATACCGCAGATGACTCCTTCAAGTGGTTACAAACTCTACACCAAAGTTAATATACCCTTCACGAAGGTGCAGGGTATAAAAACTTTCACATATTTCATATTGATAATGAAATTACATAAATCAAATTCACATTAATTCACATACTTATAACAAACTATTTTATTTGCTGAATAAGTTATTAGCGTTAAATTATTGCATATATTTATATATATAAATATAAAATTATAGATGAATAAGTGTTAACCCTAATTTTAGTTCTAATTTTCCAATTACAGTATAACATATTGTGATCTTATTTCTAAGACTATGCTTCAAAAAAAAGCACCAGAAATACAAAATCCATAACTTTAACTTAAGGTATTCAGCATTTAAAATTGAATAAGTCAAGTTTTAACTTAAATATATTCGATATTTCAGTATTCTATTGGTGAAATCGAATCCTATTGAAAATTTATTAATTCTTAAATCTCATTTTTGACTTTTTGCTTAAAAAAACAAGGAAAAAGCAAGAATCTGTTACCTCAAGATTATATAAAAGATATAATATAATACAGTGGTAATCTACTGTTTTGTTATAAAATTGAGCAATTGCAAGTCTGTGGGTTTAGTGGTATCAATATTGTACACTTAAGTTGTGAATCGATAGGTTTCAAAGACCATTATTTATTATTTCCTTAAGTTTCATATTGTAATAATACGAATTTTCGAATTAAATTCCGAAATTTTATACTTATGTTCAGGTTAAATTCAGCAATTCATATATAGCTAAACTGAATCGGGGTGTAAGTACTAGGTATTTCTGCAATCTATGGAAATCAGATATTCTGATTTTACAGAAATTTTACTGATTCTCATTATGTTTAATTTTATTTATTTATTTATTCCAATATGTTGAAATATTTGTTATGTTTTGTACTCTATTGTTTAGTAATTTTTAAATTTTAATATTTACTACAAATATAAATTATTATACACTACTACTGTACTACCACTATTTCATTATTATTAAATGTTTAACTACCACTATTTCCAATTTACTTACCTACCTTTTTTATTTGATATTTTTTTGTATTAAGTGAATACAATTAGCTCTATTTTAATCTTTTAGAATTGGGATATATAAATAAATGTGACAAGTAACTAAATTAATTTAGTATAATTATTTGCAGCAAACAATTATAACGTTCGAGGAGACAACGACAAAGAATAACGATAACGTTGACGGAATATAAACGGATAACAAATAAACTATTATACGATTTAATTTTTCTTGTTTTGATATTTTAATATTAACAAATTCTTAAATTTGTGAAAAAAATTAATAGAAAACAAAAAAATAGTGAAAACATCATGAAAGTAAGAATTGAAAATTGAAAAATATAACAGTTTTTATTAATGTTATATTTCTCATTTCAAAATTTTAATAATATGATATGTAAATATATACAATTCAGCTTATGATTTCTAATTGCTGACTCGTATATTAATTATAATATGTTAACACAGTAATTTTTAATAAAAAGTAAATTTTAATTCGTTCTTACCATAAGTTTATAAACAAGTTGAATAAATCTGTAAATAACAAAAAATAAAATTGAAATTAAAATTAAAAAATAAAAAAATATAATAAATTATAAATTAAATTTTCAAAATTTCTGATTAAATTAATTAAAATTAATTTGAAACTAAGTGCTACCTTAAATGGATACGAATGGTATACGGTAATCGGAACTAAAATCACCGTATTGACATTGTGACTTCTACGAGAATTGAGCCGCATGGGTAAACATAAAACATTTTTTGTCTTGGACTTTGAAATTAAATGCGGTTTGGAAAAGAAATATGATGTTAAGGAATTAAATGTGCTCGTTTTTAAGCTCGTATATAGGCATAAAGTCTTGAATCGCATTTCTTCTTACGAGTTACGGACCTGGCGAATGTAAATGACACGAAATTAAACCGGTCCATAAAGGATTCGGGTTGATTCAAGTCAGGGTGGGGATGTGGATATCCAACGATATCACAACGGGCCTATATGACCTAAATTTATCGTTTGGTAGCGGCGTCAACTTAGCTTAACCAAACCTGGGCATAGTATGGTCTTAGTAATGAATAAACACAGATTTATAATATAGTTTCACAAATTTAATTTTAAATTCAACTGGTTTATTTATCTATGTACATATGTTTAAATTGATGAGTCTTGCGGCTAAAAGCTGAAAAGGATTATTCTTGTAGATGGTGGAATGAAATAACATTACTTTTTATTAAAAATTGTTAATCTTTCTAAAAATCTTTATAAATATTATACATATATATATATATATATATATATCTTATTTATACTATAGATATATGTACTAAGATTGGTTTTTTTGTTTTTTTTTTGTTTTTAAGAGTTATCATCCTATTTTTATTATTTCGTTATTGTTATTTACAATACTTTTAATAACATCTACTACAAATGGATTAATTTTAGCTAAAAAAGCCTTTTTAGCTGGAGCTGCATTAGGTGGTGTCAAAGGTTTAATTACTGGTAAAGCATTAGGTGCATATGGTGGATATAAATTGGGTTATGGTAGTGGTTCATATGGTGGTGGTGGTTATTATGGTGGAGGTGGTGGCGGTTATTATGGTGGATTAGGTCACGGATATGGTGGTGGTTATCATCATGCTGCTGAAGTACCAGTTTCTGTAACAAAAATTATAACTGTACCTGGTTTTATAAAATCATATGGTGATCATTATGGTGGAGGAGGATGTTGGGATTGTGGTCATCATTTATAATATATAATGCATATATATAAGGTATACACGCATGTTATATATTTATAACTTCTTTCAATATACTTCACTACCACCTTAATTTACCTCATCGCGGCATATTACTAATCTGATCATCATTACAAGAAAGAAAGAAAAAGAAAGGGAGAAAAAAAGAGTTTTTTTTATTAAGGTGCAATCGTTTGTTATATAATATAAAGTACAACTATTGTCTTATTATTTTTTATAATAAAAACAAAAAAAAAATTTATATGAATAATATGAAAAAAAAATTTTTTTTTTTAATTGAATTTTAATTACCCTTTTCCATGAAGTTTTTTTATCCATACTCTAAGTACAACAAAGGAAAGGACAATAAAAAATAAAAATGTTAAAGAAAAATTGTCATTGTCACTCAAAATATAGCACTTTATCATTGTCATTTTTAGTACTTTTCCAAAAATTTTTTGAAAAAAAGTGCTTATTAGTTCCACTCTATCCGTCCGTGGACTTGTTTACAAAATTTCTATTTCCTTGAAGATAGAAAGCTGAAAGTTTTGTAATTACATAGATCTTTACTAGAAACTTACTTTTGTAAAAGAAAATTTTTACCTGTTTTTCTTTCTCTAAAAGTTATATCCCTTCAAAGTCCAAAAAAAACATTTTTTAACTATTTATTGCAATGAAAGAAAGCATAAGAATTTTTCAAATTTTACAAACAAAGAAAAGCAGCGGGATGCCATTCTTCGTCTAACGCGGCATGCCATACTTGAACTTGTTTTTTTTTCTAGACTGTCTAGGAGTCTGAAATTTTAGCAGTTCTTAGATATTTATCAATAGTTTATTTCATTAGAAGAAAATTTTTTTCCATCTCCATCACCACAAGTGATCATCCCTCGAAATTTAAAAAACTTGAATTTTTGTCATCTTATATTTCTTAAACTCATTTTTTCTTAATTCACGCAATTTACCCTTTAAATCGAGCATTGGGTTAATCTTTAAGGTGTTAAACACTCTTTAAGGTGTTTTTTGCTTTATTTCAAAGGCTGCATAAATCGTTTATCCTAAATGTATACAATCCTTGAAATAGTTTCGTATATGAATGAAAGTAATTTTAAAAATGTATTACATAGCTAGATTTTTTTTAAAAGAGGTATTTTAATTTGTTGAAGGGAAAAGTGCTAAATTACAAACCATTCGTTTCACCTAACTTTATTTAATATTATTTATTAGCGTTTTTTTTAATGAATATAGTATACAAGTTAATTTGATTTACTTATGCAGAAATACAGCAAATTAGGAAAATTTAACATAAGGTGTTCGATTGATTATTAATGCACGCACTTCAACTACAATATACAGCATTTATTATATAGCTATAAATAAGGTATTAAGGGAGTATCAAAGGTGTTAATTTTAAGTTATCGATTATTCGAATTTTGGAATTTTGTTAAAAGCAATTATACTGTGCAATATAACACAGTGGTGACAGACGATTTGAAGGAAAACAATTTCTAAAGTTAATTTTTGATTTTGATGCTTGTACCTTTAAGAAAATCAACTCTTACTTTCACATAGCTATTACTTTCGTATATGTATATATGTGTATATGTATGTTTTATTTTTATGTTATTATGTTGTGCATTTTTTTGTTTAATGTGCATTTACTATTGCAGGAAACAGTTCATTAATTGACATTAATTAAAGCGATGATGACATTAATCTTTCAATTTTTATTTGTACCCTTTTCTACACTATATATATATATGAATAGATATAGGTATACATAGTATAAAATGTTAAACATTTGTTAATAAAAAAGAAACATATAAAAAACACACAATTTTACTGGAAATTATGTTATTATAGCAAAATTATTAAACAGCGAACTTACCACATAACGGCCTTTTCTATTTAACTTATTGTTAACGGTATGTCAGAGCATTATTTAAAATTTAATTTAATTTTCCATTTAATACAAGTGAGGTCCTCTTTTTATGCAATTTTTAAATATTCGTAAAACAAAAAAGTAATTTTATTTTATTTATTTTATTTTAGTGTTTATTTGGTTTAATTTATAGACCTATATATTTCACATACTTCATATACATACAAATGAAAATACATGTATCGTATGTATATATACATCTATATATATTTATATATTTATATCTATATATAATGCAATGTCTTTATATGTTTTATATTTATATATTATAATTTTATAACTAAGTTTTTTCATTAAGTTAAGTAATAATTTTTTTTGTATTTTAATTTTTTTTTTGATATTTTTATTTACATAAATACATAAATACAGATAAACATCGTTACATTTCTTGAAATTAAAATTAAATATTTTTTTTCTTTTTTGTTTTTTTTTATTTAATTTTTTTTTTTGGTTTTTGATAAAGCTATATGTGTAATATTTATTTATATTTAATATAATATATAAACAAATATATAAACATATGAAATATTGATGAATATATATATATATGTATTCATAAGTATAATTCATGAGGTTATATTATAATAGCGTATATTTGGATTGCAGAACGCACTAATACAATAGATAAAATCCAATTCAAGACTCTTGACATCAAAATTAAAATATTAGTTTACTAATACACAATTCAGTAATCACAAGTCATAAGCTGAATTATATATAAATATTAGTTAATTTCAAAATTGCTATAACATTATATTAATAAAGAATTCAGCAATTACAACTTATAAACGGAATTGTGTATTAATACCGTATTGCTAGAGTTTTAAAGTCAGACTTGAAATTTTAAAACTAGAGTTTGTTTTATTTAAATTCAGCAGTTCATGTTTTAAAATTTCTTAAATTAGATTTTATAATCGTATTCTTATATTCTGAAAATGAAGATGTGTGTATATTATGGGTTTTTCTTTATGACATATATACATATACCAGAATGAAGAACAAATTTCCAAAGTTTTTTGATTATTTTTTTTTTTTAATTCTTATTTAGTTTTATATATATATATATATATATATATATATATATATATGTATATGTATATAATAATAATAATTCAATTAGGTTATGTTATATAAGTGACTTTTAAGTAGAATACATTAAGGACGATGATATTGATGTATAATACATAATTAATTATGTAGTAATCATTTTATTACTTATAAATTTGAAATTAAATGGTATCAATAATCAGTCTTGATGTATTTAACAAGAATCACTTTGGCTACATACATATATGTATGTACGTATGTAAATATAATTGAAAAGGTAATCATAATGCTATATAATATGTGATGATATAATTCAATTAATTTTCAATATAAACCCTAAATAACATTGGAATTTCAATAGTATTTATCACTATTAAAATTCAGCCATTAGCATTTACAAATTGAATATGGTTGTAATAATAAAGTATTGCTGTAATTTTGATGTCAAGAAAAATACATACTTGCAATATGTTAAAATTTTAATCAAGCAATAGTATTTGATTATTTTCTCCTTTTATACAATGCTCTCTCTTACAACCAAAATTGCAGTTAATATCATATTATTAAAAAATTTAGCAATTAGCATTTCTAAACTGAATTTATTTAATAAATATATAGAAATAATGATAATTTTAATGTTAAGGAATATAATTTATTAATATTTTCAATTTTATTTAATTATTACATTGTATGATATAAAGAAATATGCATATTATGTAAATATAGATATAGAATATACAATATACTATTTACATATCATCTCTGACTTAAAAAATTGCAATAATATACGAAATTATTATACAATTCAGCGTAATTACAACTCCATTGTAATGACAACATTTAATACAGACGATATACAGATAAGTTTCCGTTTTTTCTAAGTCGGTTCGAAGCATTATGAGATGTTCGATTAAAATAAAAATTTAGGTGTTTTCTTATAATCATTAAACTTCATTCCTTGAATTACTTCAGAATTAATTAGTATTAATTTATTGTAAAGCTGGGTTCACTTCTACTTTAAAAGCAATTAATATTATCTTGCTGAATAAGCCAATATTGATATGAAAAAAAAAATTTAAAGTAGATTGCATTTTGTCAGAACAAATCAAAATTTATGAAATAATTTGAATAAGAAAAAATTTTCATTTCTAATTTTATATATATATAGTGTTTTGTTATACACAGCTCTACAAAAGTTACTATTAATGTATTATTTCATACCTAATATAAATATATACAGTCCCTAGTATTGGAATTCCGGCGATACTGTAGTTGCTGAATTATGTCAAGATACGGTATTATGACAATTTCGTTGTCATGAACTGTAGAAAAGAATGTACTATATTGTTATACAGTAGAATGAAAAATTAGAAAAAGACAAAAAAAAAATAAATTGGTGGAAGAGCTTAATAAATTTTTCTTATATCGATGATATGCAATTAAATGAATCAAATTTTATAACCCTTATAATATCGTTATATACAAATATATAATATGCGTGTATATTTGTGTTAATGTAATTTATTTTCAAATTTTTAATTTTTTTCTATACAATGATATGCAATTAGTATTATTTTATTATATTCCCTGTACCCTATTCATATAATAATTATTAAGTATGTATTTCAATCTTTCAAAATTTTTATATAAAAGAACAAAATGTCATCAAATATATTTCTGTATGTGTTTGTATTGAAAAGAATCAGTGATTTCAAACTTTCAATAATACTGTATTTAATATACAATTCAGCTTATGAATGGTAATTGCTGAATTTTCTGAATTGCAAAATAAATAGCATAATATTGCAATTTTGAAGTCAGAATTTAACTATATGTATGTGTAAAGAATAAAAAAATATTGAAATTAATAAACTATAAAGAGCATAAATTTTTATAATTTTTTATCTTACTTTAACCCCTGAAAATACTGTTTTTATCAATATCAAAAATTGCAAAAATTTCAAAGGAATCACATTCTAGTTAAGTGACAAATAAAAAACAATGATGTTTAAAAGCGTATAATTTTCACGAAATATCATCAAATATTAATATAAAGCTTCGCCGTTAATGAAAGCAGAAAACAAACAAAAAAATCAAAAATAAAATTATTTTTAAAACGAACTCTTTTAAGATACCAATTTTTCGATATACAGAATGATTTAGCAACAAGTTAGGACCGATGTACCATCGAGTAGACGATCGAAAATGAATAACATTTTTCTTGGGAACATTTGTGCCAAATCGGGACCGTTTCCGAACTACAGGGATTATAAGAAAATTTAGCGAAATTTTAAAATATCTGGAGGAAACATGATGCCAAATCGGGACCGTTTTCGAACTACAGGGATTTTAATAAAATTATTATATGGTAATTACTATATATAATTAGAAAATTCAGTTTTATGAATTGTAATTGCTGAATTAAATAATAATAAATTCAGTATAATTTTCAATTTGACAAGATGTTATAGGATGGACCGGAGTTGGGAAACATAATAATTCTCATAAATTTTGAATATATATATATATATATATATATATATGTATATATATATATATATATATATATATATGTATATATATATATATATATATATATATGTATATATATATATATATATATATATATATATATATATGTATATATATATATATATATATATATATATATATATATATATATATTTATATATATATATTAATATATTGATATATTGTGTCCCTGACTTTAAAATCATGTTAATACTGTATTAATACACAATTCAGAAATTATAATTCATAAGCTGTATATTAATAACAGTATTTTGTTGTAATTTTGAAGTCAGGGTTTTTTTTAATATTTTTAAATATTACCGTTTTCTTTTTTTGTTATTTTTGATGCAGTGATAATTTTTTTAAATATTTTACATAATTTATTAATTTATCTATATATTTTTATTTATAAATTTGTTAGTACATATGTTTTTCGTTTTGGGGGAGGGGGAGAAAAATTTTATTTTAATATTTTACTTTTGTATTTTTTTTTAATTTTTGTAATAATTTTAATTTAATATTATTATAATAATTTGTAATTTAAATTTAATTTTTATAATTAACTTTGTTTTTGTTTTATATTTTTTTAATGTAATTTTAATTATTATAAATATTTTTTGTAATATTAAAGTTTTTGTATTTTTCTCATTTGTTTTACAATTTTTTTTGTATGTTTTTTTTTTTGTGTATATACAACTAATAGATTGTTTTTTTTTCTTATTTTTTGAATTTCTTAATTAAATTAATTTTCTATTTCTGTTTTTATATTAGAACTTTTGTTTTTTTTAGTTTTCGTGACTTTGATCCTTTTTTTAATTTTTTATATATTTAGCTAGCCTTTCATACTAATTTTTTAATATGTATACAACAAACATATTGTTTATTGTTTGAAAATTATATAAATAATAACTGTGCGCAAAAAGGAATAATCGTGAAAGTCGAAGTAAGCGAAAAATTAGATATTAGCATTTGAAGGTTGTTCGAAACAAATTTTGGAAAAAGCGACAAAAATCATGGAATTTGTACAAAACGGATGAAATTGAAAAGAAAGCTTAAGTAAATTTGAAAAGAAAGCTAAAGTAGAAGTATACATTTTGTATAAAATTTATAAAAAAATAAAAGAAAAATTGTAATCATAAGTAGAAGTAAGCTCCAAAATCCAACTAACAACTTTTGAGCCTATTAGTTTTGCTTTTCAAATCATAGAAATTAGAAAAAAAAAAGTAGACAAAAAATTATGCAAATTTTAATTTTCTCATGAAAATTAGGCATAATATTTGGATAGATTTGATTTGGATAATTATTCCTTTTTGCCACACATACATATATGTACAAAATGGAGAAAAAATGAATTGAGGCTGATTAGAAAAAAAAGCACATAACCCACCACAATGTATATTCCCTAGTTTAGTGAAAGTATTACAAAAAATTATGAAAATGCATTTGGAACACTTCCTTTCATTTTAATGAGTTTTGCTTTGTGCCACCCCAATTCCCTGAAAAATTCACCAGTTAGTTTCGGTAACAACCAGAACTCAAATATAAAATTGCAAGAAGTTAGATGAATCCGTTCCGTAGACATGGTGAAAAATGTAAAATAGATCCACATTTCGGTTTTCGAGATCTGATCTTTCCAAAAATTTATATATATTTTTTTAAAAACTCGAGTTTAAATATTAAATTTCAAGGAACTTGGTTGAAATTGTAAAGTTGGCCCGCAAAAAGGTTTAGTTACCGAGGTCTGATATATCACAAAATAAACTCACTTATAAAATTTCATCAAAATGGGTTCAGCCGAACTTGAGATACACGCGTACACACACAGACTGACAGATTGACAGACCGATATCTCTGTAAAGTTATTTTATTTACGCTTCCCTACTATGGAGAAGTGTGTTCCCAACATCCAAAATTTGGCGTCATCAAATAACCTACCTTACGGAGTACAATGCAGTAGGTAAAATGCACGAATCAAACCAAGAAGCTCGTGTCAGTGGTTTGCATCTACAATAATGAGATATTGAAATTTTTATCATTCAATATTTTATCATTTTTGAAAATAAGCCGATATACTTCCATATATATGGTTTAGAATGAGTATAGTTATAAATTTCTCTTCCGATTTTGATCAAATGTATTACAATATTTATTTTAAACCATATACATATGTGCATATACAGTTTAACTCAATAACAATTATTGTATTTTACGATATAAAATATCTCATATACATTCGATCCCCATCAAAATTAAAAAAGTCGAATAAAAATATAAAATAAAAACGATGTCATAATATTAATATAGGTATGTAATTTGTGTATGTGACGAATATATACATATATATAGATATATAATGAATATAATATGTTTTTGTATCTGTATATGTGCTTGCCTGTGACAATAACGTGAAAAATAACTATATGAGTCGATTTAGTATAAAATTAGTGAGAGGATTTCACAAGTTGATGATGATTTTTAGTGCACAGGAAGAAATACGAAAATTCAGAGATCTAACAAAAAAGTATTGCTTAATCAAATCAAATGCAATATTAGATTTGTGTAGTTTGATAGGCTCTTACTTCGAAATAACTTTTGGAATAAGGTCTAAATTCAAGAATTGATATTCTTGATATGTTTTAAAAAGTAGTTGAAAATATTTTTTATTGATAATGGAATCTAATACATTTTTGTAATAATTAATTAAGGCGTTATATATAATAATTTTATATAATAAGCATTTAAGATGAATATAAGAATATGTATATACATATGTACACATTTTTTTTATTTTGGAAAATATAGAAAAACAGTAATTTAAATTATATATATAGTGTACATAATTTTATGTATACGCAGTATTTATGTATTTATATGTATATATTATAGGTGTTGGTATATTGCATTGATGTTTTATATAATACTTAATTATTCTTATTATGTATTTACATATATTTTTTTTTATTTTAAGTATAAAGGAACTTGGGAGTGTATGCAACATGATAATAGAAAATTATATAAATATATATAGTTTTAATAAATATAAGTATATATTTTTAACGTATGTATATATATGTATATATCTAAGTTTCATATATACACAAAGTTTTTAAATGCAACTCACTAAAAATTTCGAAATTTCGAAATTGTGAATTTTATTTCTTAAAATTTTGAATTTATAAAAACCAAAATTATCAAGAAAATTATTTTAAGAAAAATTATTTAAATAAATAATTTTATTAGTATATATTGTTGTAATAAAATTAAATAGTAATTTTATAGTATATAGTCTCGTTTGAATTGAAAATCTCAATAATGTATGGTAACACACACACAATTTAGCAAAATTATATACAATTCTATAAGCCACACTTTTATATTGTGTTCTAAAACTATTTTTCAATTTAAAATTGAGCGTGATATTAATACAAACAATTAGCAACTATACAAAAAATTTAATATAAATTTGCATATCAGGGGTCAAAATGCAGATCTGACCTCAACTTCTTGATATATTCAGTATTATTTTCAGTAACGTATGTATAATACATTTGTGTAAAATATATTTGTATATTATGTAAAATACATATATACGTATATATGAAGTATAATTTCGTAACGAATACAACAATTTAAAAAATTACAAAAATGAACCTCAATTAAAATTTTTGTTGAGATGGAGGATAATTTTAGTTATACAATACAATAAACTTTGCAAGTTATGCAATAACCTTCGTTCAAAGTGAAGTATAGGACATTCCTTGACCTCGGAATAATAATAATACCGTATCAATAATCAATTCAGCAATTGGCATTTATAAGTTGAATTCTGCATTAATACAGTATTATTGCAATTTATATCGGGGATTATTTAAAACCTTAAAATTTTGAGGTATGTTACACCATGTAATTGTTTTCGTAATGTCTACCGTTTTGGCTTAAAATTTCGAAATGCATCTTAATTTAATGTAATATGGAGAATGTTTTTAAATAGAGATTCCCAATATCGAGGTTAAATATAAAGAAAAATTTTTAAAAATGCTACTGATGGCAAAACAGAATTTTTAGTTTTGTTATATTATATTAAATATGAAGACGTTTGTTATATATATGAAAATGTCGTTATATATAGAGATTTCAGGGTGTGACTAAATATGTATATATTGTGAGCTTCAAAATCTTGTATAGCAATATACATTATTCGTAGCTTATGAATCGTATTTTCACTGAATTGTGTATTGTAATAACAACTTAGATATTATATGTTATATATAAATTTATATATACCACATAAAATCAAAATTATATCATATAACATCTATATATATGTATATATAGTAAAATAAAATATTTAAATTAAATAACATATCTAATAGAAAAAATTTTGAAACAAAAATTCGTAAATTTTAATTTATTTCCACAATTGAATAATTTTCACTATTTAAATATTACAAGTATATATATATATATACAGGGTGTTTCGCATAAGGTGGCAAATAATAAGGGATGATTCTTTGATCAATTTCAAGCAAAAACATTGTATGGCTGTTGCGGTGTGGGTGGTGGTGCAGATATACTTGTTTTCGAGCTACAGCCTGCTGATGGGAAAGCTCAAGATTTTTCCTGGATATAAAGAAGTACTTATACCTTTGGAACAATGCAACATAGAATAACCATCGGAGACTTGTTTTCACAAGGTTGTAACTGGAAAACACAAGTATATCTGCATCTCCCCCCCCCTCGAAGCCTATATAATTTTTTGATGGAAATTAACCAAAGAATCATCCTCGAAACAATTTGCCTCCATACACGAAACACTCTGTATAATATTTAGATATTCATGTCATAATTTCGTTTTTTTTTGCTACTAATTTTATATTTTTTACTAGAAATTTTTATTTAGTGTTTAATTTTGCCATCGTTTTTATTTTAAACTCATTTAATTTTATACTTTATGTTAAGCTATAACAGTTTTCACAAAATTTGTTACACACATGTATATATATATAAATAAATATATATATATATATATGTATATATATATGTATATGTTATGTACGTTAAATTTTATTAAATATAATTTTTTTATACATTATGAAATATAAATAGCTTTTAAGATTAGTTTTATTTTATTTTTTGTTTTTTAGTGAAATAAAAAAAAAATAATTTTTTTTTTTTATTTTGTTACGGTTTTTGTTTTTTTTTTTAGTTTTTGGTTTTTTTGTTTTGTCCTATATACTAAAAACATTTTACGTTCCCATCATTGGTTCTGTACGTATGTCAGACTTTAATTTAACAAATTCTTTTGCTACTTCATCATTATTACGTTGCGATAATATACGTAATATGGTCCAGCCAGTTTCATCCATTTGTATACGTTTTTGTAATGGGAGCCAACAAGCACAAGATCCCTAAAATAAGAAAATAATACCAGAAATAGGTCGAACTTGTATTTGAGTTTGTTAAGAACTAATTATTATGTGAATTGTAAAAAAATGCAAAAATTACCCTTTCAATAATATCTTTGAGTTGTATAACAGCAACACCAACTAAACGATCATCGCGAGCGAAGCAATAATCTTTAATGCATATATGAATTTCAAAGAAATCAAGTTGTTCTTCATTACCGATCATACTAAAAAATAAAGAAAAAATAAAACGCACATTTTAAATTGATTAAGTATAATATTAAAATTTAAGAAAAATATAACAATTAAATCAAATATATATAGTATATAGAAAACTTACAAGTGGAAAGTTTCATTGTATTTTGGCGACCAATTATTTGATTTTGATTTTGTTGCATGTTTACGTTTCTTATCTTGTAGGTGTGGTCCAATTAAATTAATTTCAACAAACGGTCTAAACATACCAGATTGTATAGTCCATTTTAAGTCATTTGCAGCAACAACTATTATTTATAATATATATTGAAATATAGAAGAAAAACAAACTTTTAATAATTTATTCTATTATATATATAAATTATGTTTAAAAATCTATATTTGTAAAATTACAGATTTTAGTTTATGATTTCTAGTTGCTGAATTTTATATTAATACCGTATTATATGGCAATTTTTAAGTTACGCTTAGTTATATTAGTCATTATAAACTTGTACTACATACCTTTAACAGTAACTTTATGTTCACCGGTGCCAGGATGTGTAAATAAGTCGATTTGAACAGATACTTCACCAACACTTTCTTCTGGATTTTCTGAGTCTATACGCACGTATTTAAAAAAATAAAAAAATAAAAAATTAATAAAAATATAAAATTTTACTTTTAATGAAAATTTAATGGGCTTAATTTTGTAATTAATTATTAATGTTTATAACAAAAGCTCAACAAATTAACTTTTATTAAACTAAATGAAAACTCATCCTTTCTAGTTTATATATAATATCATATTAAAATATTAATTTTTTGTTAAAAATATTATTTAAAACTAATAGTTGATATGGAATATCAGCAGTTACAAACCAAAAATCTATATTTAAAAAAAACAAGCTTATTCCAAATGCAATATGTGATCTCTTGCTTAATATAATATTTGTATTATATTAAAGCTAAATTTATAATAATATTGATTCAGCTTAAATGATTTCCTTTAGCTTAATTTAGAGGGCCATGCAGTTTTACTGTGATTTTAAAGTGAAGAATTAAAGCTTTCTGCAGTTGAAAAATGCAAGCATATTTTATATAATATATATGGTATGCAAGAATATCAAATATTTACATGCAATACAAATAAATATAAACTACATATTTATATATATATATAAATATATTCAATAAATAATCAGAATTGTGAATGTAAAAATAAATTTTATCTGGTAACTAAAAAAAACAAAAAAAATATCTACAACGAATATATGTTGTGAAAAATGTATGTTTTTTTTAAATATTAACTAGATATATATAAATATATATGTATGTATGGTGAGTGAAACATATTCAAATATATGTATATATATTAATATAATATGATCATTCTAATGATGAATTCCATTCAAATAAATTAATAAATCTAAATTTCGTAAAAATTATATGAAAATCATTTTATTTCGCAGATTTTGTAGGATGTTTGCAAATTGGATTCGTAAATTTATATTCAAAAATCGTTGATTTTATATGATAAAATACATGCTGGGCGAGCTGCTGTTGAATCAAAGAGAAAGCCGTTAATACGAATATAATATAGGGCGAACATTTTAAATTATTCCTTATAGGGGTCTGTGGAATGGAATTCATCATATAAGAAATTTTAATATCTTTAATTAAGAATATTATAATATTAATGATGAACAGCAAAATACAATAATATATATATATATTTATTTGTTTTTATATATTGAAATTATATACAGGTTAGTCGCTTACGAATAACAAGTAGTATACAGCAGATGATAATTTGAGATAATGCGCACTGATAAAAAAAAAAATTGAGTTTATAGTATAGTGATGTCGATTCAAAATTGTTTTGGGAACAAATGAGTTTGCTTTCATTGAGCCTTTAGACTATAGTCTGTCATGTCTCATTATTGAATGTTGAAAAAGTTTGATACTATTCACTTAAAACAAACGATTACAAATTTAAAATAAATTTACAATATGGATAAATTTTTGGTCATTTTGAATCCAGAATGAAGTTCAGAATGTTTGATTAATGGATTTTATTTTATTTTACCATTTGTAGATTGTAAATTGATGTGCGGAGCATGGCCCACAGCATCCCTCGAGACCAACCGTTGACCCCCCACCCTCTTATAAATGGAATTTTGAAGTCATGACTTATATAAATTGTACATAACGATAACAAATTTATATATTTTTTTTTTTAAATTTATTGTTAAAATATTTACTATTTAAAAATTTATAACTGAGGTCTTAATGGAAAAAGTTTTTATACAATATTTTCGATTAAATGAATAATTAGTGAATTTTTTTTCATGAATTTGAAATTTTATGCTTACATTTTTGAAATAAAAATAAATTAAGGTACGAGTTTTGTACATTGAAAAAAAAAACAAACATTATTAAAAAATAAGAAACAAAAATTTAAAAAATTAAAAAAAATTAAATTGAAAATAAAATTAACCTTATGTTCTACAATGCAATAATACTGTATTAATACACAATTCAGCTTATAAGCGTGAATTTCTGAATTATGCATTAATATCGAATTATTACATTATAATGTAAACAAGGTAAATTTAACTAATATAAGAATAATAAAAATTAATTTAATTTTGAAATATATTTAATGTCTTTTGATAGCAGTTATTTTATACACATAAAGGTGATTGTATACATAGATATGAAAGTATATGATTATTTTTTTTTCGGTGTGTATGTATTTAAACCATAATTAAGTGGAAAAAGTAGCAGTTATAACCAAAAAAAATATTTTTTAAGGAAGTAGCAGTTATAACCAAAAAAAATCAATGACTTTAAACTATCTGTTAAGATAGACGTAGTTTTCCATTTTTTTTTTAACACAAAATTTTTGTTTTAAGCCTAACGACATAAAATTTATGCAGGAATCTATTAAAAATTTTAAAATTTATTATTGAGAATATTAATTTTTTTCTACTTAATATTTTGTTTGTGTTTTGTAGGGTAATCATTAATTGTTTGTGCTTTACATCAATATATATATAACAAACAATAAATATATTTGTGATTTCAAAATAATATCCTACAATTATTAATATTGTGAGTTTGTTAATTGTCATTTTTATGATGAATGCGCATTGAAAAATATTTTGACATAATATATATTGTATATTGGTTTTAACTTGCTTTCTTGTAACCTTGCATATATGTATGTATTTCTTATTAAATTTTGTGTATTCAATTTTATAATTTCAATATGTATGAAAAATTTAATTCTATTTTTTTTAATTTTAAATTTATGATTTGGTAGAAAAATATAACTGCTTAAAAATATATATAATATATATATATGTATGTATATGTATTTCTATATATATGTAAATTTAACTTCAAAAATGAAAACTAATTTTTATATTTTAAAATCAATGAAAAATAACAAAGAAAACGGGTTATTAACAAGAATCTAAAAAATTAGAAAATAAAAATGAATTACATTGTATATGAATAATATGTTAAAAATGTATCTGAAGCAATTTTAATAATAACAAGTATGAAAAAGTGAATTTTAGGTTTTTGCTAAAATTGAATAGCTGTCTATTTTTTAAATTAATTTTATTTAAACTCTAAACTTTAAAATTTTTTAAATTAAATACTTTGTTGAAACTATAGAACAAAATTTTTTGAGCTATTATAGTTGCAATTCTCAATAAGATTTAAAAAATATATTAAAGTTCAGGGCAAAACTTGCTTATAACATTATATCTGTAGAATTTATTACGCAGCCAAGTGCAGCATTTTTTTTTTATATTAATCCCGAATTAAATAAAACTTCCCATTTTATAAAATTTTGAAAATTTAACGAAAAATAAATTTGTATTAACTATGGGGGTTCCATTTCTAGTACTAAACTATGTAAACTTTATAGGGTCGCAAATTTTCCGTGATATGTCGTGACTACCATTCCTATGCAATTTATATAGGCGGGTGCAATAAGTAACATAATAAATTATCTCTCTCATAATTAAGTTTTTGAAAGAGATATAGTAGATATACCCCTGTATATATATATACATAAATACATATATGATGAATTAATGTAATAAATATAAAATCGTAATTTTAATATCGTAAACCTGATACGGTAAATTCAATATCGTAAATAAATATAATTCAAAATTGCTTCAGACAAGTTATATATAATATGATGATTATAAAAATAAATTACAAAAAAAAAAACAAACAAAAATTAAAATAAAAAAAAAATAAATTTAAAAATTATATATTTTTTTTTTTAATTTTATATATTTTTTGTGTATTTTTTTTGTGACATTGAAATACACCTTGACGATTATCACGCTTAATTTTTGCTGCTTTCAGTGGTTCTTCCAAATTTGGATCCATTGCTAAATGTTCAACTTCAGCTGCTGTAAGACTTCGTCTTCTTACTACGTTTTTTTTTTCGTTTTTTTTTTGTGCGATTTTTTTTTTCATATTTTGAATATTTTTTTATTTTCATTATAAAAACACATTTTTATATTTAATTATTTATTATATTATTTATTTAAAATATTATATTGTTGTTGTTTTTTGTTTTTCAATTGAAATAATAAAAAAAAAATAATACGTATATTATATACAAATATTGTTAATATATATATAGATAATATATATATATATATAGATTTGTGCAATTATTTAAAAAAAAGGCAATAAGTATTTTGTATATACCAGAAAATTTTTTAGAATTTTAATATAAATATATATATATATATCATGTATATAATATATATATCATATATATTATAAATGATATATATAATATATATATATATCATATAATTATATAAATATTTCCATTAACATTGTTAATATTTCATAATATTAAATATAAAAATTATTATGTTAAAAAAAAGGACGAAAACACAAGAGAAAGAAAGAGAAAGAGAGTGTATAGTATTTATATATATATATATATATATATATATATATATATATAATTATATATTATTTGAGGGAATAATTTTAATATAATAATAATATCATAGAAATTTTCATAATAAACATATATATCAATATATTATAATATATAATTTGATAGAACATTATTAAAAACTTTTAATTCGTTACTTTAAAAATTTCTAACATTTTTAATGCAGATGCTAATTCAGCTTATAAAATATAATTGCTGAATTGTGTTATAAAAATATATCATTGTATATACCGCGATTACATTTTTATAGATTTCAAGTCAAGGAAATTCTTTTACTTATATATATTATTTTTATATGAAAATTCCTATAATTTATTATACATATATATTTCTCTTATGCATAAAAAATTGTAATTTGTTTAAAAGTATATATATAAATATAAACAAAAAATTAATAATAAATTTTGATGAAATGTGCAATATACACATTTACATATACATTACAGTACATATAAATATAAACATAAATACACTGACTTAAAAACTGCAGTGGTACAACAGGTACAAATTTTATATATATACACCCCCAGATTTTTTTTTGATTTGAATTACCGTATTATATAAATAGCAATGCCGGATTGCTGCAAATTTTAATACTGCAGAATCAGTTGAAATCTAAAACTATATATATATGTACATATACAATCGGAATCATCGGTGGTATAAAATGCATCGCTTTTATACATAAAAACAAAGTTTATAACAATAAGAAGAGTTATGAATTCAGTAATAAAATTTGAAATTTGTTGAATAAAGTATATACGTTGTAAATTATTATTACGTATGTATATAAAACATGCAGAATATTTACATTTTTTATAAATTTTTTAATGTGTAGTATGCAAAGTTTTTAAATATAAAAGAAGAGAGTTTCTTTTCTCATAGTTGCTTACACTATAAATACTACTCAGTTGGATTTGCATGTAGGTTTCTTACTTACTTTCTTTAATAACTCCAAAATTGTGGTGTAATACAGTTTTATGCTAAATAATTAAAATTCATGATCTGAATTATTATGCATTAATACCGTACATTACTGCAATTTTGAAGTCGTATTATATATTTAGTAATAAAGTCTATATTATATCTTGCAAGATTTTCAGGTCAGGAAAACTTTTTTGTGTATACTCAGAGCAAACAGAAATACAAAAATAAAAGAAACAAAAACTTAATAAAATGTTCAGTCAGCAAACCACAGAGGGATGCCTCTAGTGCATATATATCGTACATACATATGTATATGTGTATATTAAATATACCATTAATAAAAAATTAGTAAAATTATACAATAGAAAACGAGCACACGTTCAATTTAACTGACACACACACAATTATTATTTTATTTATATGGTTTTATTTGATTTTGCAATTTTTTTTAAATTTTGTGCAATCTTGGTTTTTTTTTCGATTTTTTCTTTTTTGTATTTAATAATATTGTTGGGTAGTAATTGTTTAGAAGTTGACTTAATTTACTGATAATAAACTTATTCTCGCATGGTTTTTAGATCAGGTTATCTCTGATATCGGAATTGCAATAATACCGCATCGACAGACAATTCAGTAACTGGCATTTATAAGCTGAATTCTTACAGTATTATTACATTTCCGATTTCAAGAAATGTTCCAGTTTATATTTTTATCAACATTGAATCGATTGGCTGGATTTAAAATCGATTTCAAACCGAATTCGAATTGTGAATAAGCTTTATTTGATATTTGCTATTTAATACGTTAATCTGATTTTGAAATATTTGATCATTAGATATGCCATATTATACAATTCAGTATATGAATAGTTGTTATACTGTTACAATTTTTAAATAAGACATTATTTTATACACGCATATTGCACAAAATTATATATATAACGTATATATTATTGTATTGTCTTACACATACAATAAAAATTGAAAAAAAAAAGAAAAAAAAAAAAATGTAAATAAAATTTTTTCATAAAAAAAAGAATTGATTAATAATAATAACAAAAAAAATTTAAAACTTACCTTCATTCACTTGACTTGTTATGAAAGTTTTTATTAATGTATCAGTTGTTTGTGTGTATAAACTTAAGGCATATCTTAAACTTTGTAATTCCGGTGATTTTTCCAAGAATGTCTTCTTTAGACCATTACCACCAGCGTGAAAATATTGCTTGATTGTATCTAATGCGACATCTAATACAGCACATTGTTTTGGTGATAAATTCTTTTCAACTTCTTTCGATATATCCATAACCCCGCTTAATGCACTTTTAACATCCTGTTTACCGGCCATATGATTTTTAAATAATCGGCCCATATCTTCAATTTTAGCATTTGATGCAACATTTTTAACATTATCACTAAGATTTTTGAACATCATCTAATAATATTTTTGATAATTAAATTAAAATGATTGAAAAGGAATTTTTATAAATTTTTTCTGTTACTTCAAAATTACAGTACATTGTATTATAATACACAATTCAGTTTATGACTTATATCTGTTGAATTGTGTGTACTTTAACTGAACTGTAATTTAATGTATGTATTAATTTTTTTGTACTCAAAATATAATTTTTTTATATTTTTTTTTTTTTTGTAATTGTTTAAATTTATTATACTTACCGTTCTATCAGTCATTGGTGGGAGGACAATTGTTTTCTCCAAAATTCGCATAACAATTTTCCATAATTCTTTAAGCAAACGTTTAAGTACGGTTTTTTCACATGATTGTGCATATAACGTTAACGAACCATCTAATAAATCCATAAGTGGTCTTAAAACTTCATCAGCCTCAACAGCTACCGCATTACGTTGTGCAGCTTGTGGAGCATTAGCTAAATTAGGACCACCTTTAAGAGCCAATAATAAATCACCGAGCTCACGTACGCTTTGTGTTATTCTCGGCTCAAGACTGTTGTATTTATATTATATGGATAATTTTGATCATGATTATAAAATTCAATTTAATATTTTTTATTTTAAAAATTTAAAATATTAAAAAAATATTTAAAATCCCGATTCAAAATTAAATTATTTTTTAATTTTCATAATGGTTCGTTAAACATTATTTATTATTATTGTTGTGAAAATTTTCACATGTCAAAAAAATGTCATGGAATTTTTTTTTTTTTTTGACATATGATTAGACAATAATGAGTTTTTGTTTTTATACAATTTTGGTTTTGTTTTTAAAAACAAAACGATAATTTTGTATTGTAATCATATAATTTTTTTTTTATTCATAAAAATTAAATTGTCCAAAAATTATGGTGTTGTACGAAAGTTTTGGATTTTTTGATTTGTTTTTTTGAGTGTACGTTGAAAAAAATTTTAATATTGATTGTAAAATCAATAAAGAAATTTTTTTTAATTGAATACCACCAGAGAAAACGACGTCCAATATAGGTAGATTTGGTTATCCAAAAGTTGTAAATTATAGTAAATGCAAAAAAATTAAAGAAAAAAATATAATTTAAAAAATATTTTAGGTAAATTTTCGATACAAAAAAGTTTTGAAGCTTTGATTATATCGTTATTAAAATAGATTGTACTTCTTATATGCATAAAGAAAAAATATAAGTATTCTTAAGCTTGTTACACACAGGTGTCTTAGGATTCTTAAAAAAAAATAAAGAATTTATACACATGTTAGAAGCTAAGATATCATAATTTCAACAATTTGTGTATTAATACACAATTTTAGTACTTAATGCAAAGAAACCTGAATTGTTTCTTATATGCAGTATATATTATTTTATTTTAGATTCTCGAGGTGTTTCTGATTTAATTATATCTGCTATCATTTAAAATTGAGCTCTTTAAAAAGCCTTAAAATTTTATGAAAAAAAGTTTTGTTATATACTGGAATTATAACGTAGCTACGCAAATATATTGACTCTGACTGATTGGTCGACTCATTAACATTCAGTCGTTAATAAAATTTTAAACATAAGTGATGTATTCTTCATCTAAAAAATACTATTTCTTTCACTTTAAAGTGTTTGGAGAACAAAATAAAATATTACATTTACTTTTAAATTTGCAAAACGAAATATTTTTCCAAAAAAAATTATATCCAAAATCGAAAAGTAGGAAAGAAAAATTTCAAATTTTAAGTTTCTCAAAATATAACCGATTGGTATTATCATAAAATTTGACAACCAAAAGCAGAGATGATGCCAGAAACGAAGAATGGTATTGGTTTTGTTTTTTTTTTTCTTTTTTAACCCACCTTACAGCAAACAAACAAGCCAAATCATCAAGAGCAGAATTTAAATTTTGTTGTAATTCTTTTAAAATATTTGCAGCATCTTCTTCAAGCTTATCACCACCCATAGATTCAAACATTTTTTCCAATTGAACACGTAATTGTTGAATATTATTCATAAGAATACATGCCTTTAATTAAAGTAAAAAAAGAGAGATAGAAAGCAAAAAAAATTTTGTTTTAAAAAGTATAAGACATTTTACAAATATTGGAAGTATGAGGCCTCATTGTGAAAGAATAAACTGTAATTTAAATGTCAGAGTCTAAAAAAATTGTTTATTTTTTAATTACTCAGAGAATACAGAAACCACTAAACAATTCAGCAATTAGACTAATAATCCGAATTTTGTAATTTTATGAAATTACTCAAGACAAGGGAAATTTTGAATTTAAAATTGCAACAATATGATATTTATGCACCATTATTTATGAGTTTCAATTGCTGAATTGTTTATGAATACCATTAATACTTTATGAATACCATTAATATTAAATTTTAAAGTCATGAAATCATATACTATGCATTATATTATTCTTTACATTATACTATTATTACATATTTACTATAGTATAATCGTCTACAATAATTAAATATTCGTTTATAAGAACAATAAATAAGGTATAAGATTTTCCACATCTTTCACAATAAGGAGGAAAATTTGAAAGAAAAAAGGTAAATTTGTATTTTTTATTTAATTTACTCCTTTATACTTAAAATATTTTGCAAAATTCTAATCTAAGTTTATACATTACTTACGATTCTCTCATCTTTCATATGCTCCGGGAATTCCTTTTTGACAATATCGGCATAAGCTATTAGCACCTTTACAATAGTTTTGGCAAAGCGTCTCATGTACCGCTTCCATATTTCTGGATCAGGACATTCGAGCTTGCTAACAACATCGAAACATTGCGTCAGTTGTGTAAACACATCTACTACAGAATTTGAAAATAAGGCATGTTCGCTACTCTTTTGAAACTATATAGAAAGAAAAGTACAAAAAAAAAAATTCAATAATTTTTCGTTTTTTTTCCTTTCATTTTTTTTATTAATTTTTTTTACCCCGTCTTTTTTATCACGATTGAAAGCACCATGTAAGTATTCTAATGAAACATCATCATTTTCATTTAACCATTGCATAACAAATGGTTCAAACCAGGCTGGATATTCCGGTACAGCACCTTTATATGGTGGTACTTCTTTAACATAATTTGTGTAAAGCCATTTAACACGAAAATGTAAATTCATATAAGCGGATGATTTACATAATCTGTGTTGTTCATGTTCTTCTAAGGCATATTTCATATCAACAGCGAACAAACCCCACATTGTTGCAGCTGACAACTATAAAATTTATTTTTCAATTAAAAGTTTTAAAAATGTTTATTTAATTAAGTTTTTTTAATATTCTGAAATGTAGTCATAATTGTGTTCATTTTCAATAATTTTTGAATTATAGAAATTTTTTCTCTATAAAAAATTCTAACAATAAAAACAGATTAATTTTCAATATTATATTGAGCCATCTATGGGAGAAAAAAGAAAGTCATTGCAACAATATTTTAGTGCTTGTATAAACGTATGTAACCGTGTTATATACAAATAATTTGAAGTGAATTTTAACATAATTTTTTCTTTAACCTAGAAATATCACAATTCTCTCAATTTTTTTAACTAATCAAAAAACTGACACATTGAGAAAAATATCTGATAAAGAATACTCTATATATATGATTTTATTATTTTTGCATTTATTACTTTAATTAACACGATAATTTAAAAATTTTTTTAATTATTAAATATGTATAATTATTTACAACTTAATTACAGCTTACATTTACAGAGATAAAGATTATATATATAAATATGTTTAGATATGTAAAAATGAAAGTGATCTCGATTAAAAAAAAAAGTGTCAATTATACACAGAAAAACTTACTTGTCCAATATTTAGCTCTTGTGGAAATTGGTTTAGTACAGCTCCATAACTATTTCTATCTTCTTCAATAACTGACACTATTAGAGCTATTAGCTTATGCCAAAAGTCAACACTATCCAATTTTGGTCCATGATCATCTGGATCACGTTTGGCCTCATTAGGATCCACCTTTTTGCATAATATATATTTCACACATTTTGTTTTTGATGTTAATGTTTTCAATCCAACATACAAGTATTTTAGATTTTTAGAATTTATATATATATATATATATTTATATATATAGTGTATATCATTCATTTTTGGAAATTTGGGCATTTGAATTCAAAAAAAAAAAAAAACAAAAATAAATATTATTAATAAATTTTCAAAAATATGTTTTTTTAATCATTAATTTTTTTCCTAAAAAGAAAAAAGAACGAGAAAATAATAAAAATAATAATTGTATCTGTGGGTATCTTACCAAAATACAAATTAAACACCAAATTGACTTATTCAGCAATTAAAACAGAATTACTGAGTGAGTCAAATCGACGTTATTATCTGATTTTTTTCGACACCCTATGTATAACCGCGCGTTAATCAATAATTTTAACCATATGTACGTCATTTAATGAACAGCTTTTATTATTAAAATTGAAATTTATATTTTTAATTATGAAAGATAAAATTTAAAATTTGCGTACAAAAATCGGTATTTGGTACAAAAAAATAAAAGTAGATTTTATTTATTTGTTTGCTTAACTCAAACTATACAACAAATTTTAAATTTTTATATTACAAAAATTTGACATTTTGTAATATAATTTTACTAAATTTTAACGCTTAATAAGTTTTAAACCAACTTATTTATAAATGGTTTTAATCTCAATATCTAAGCTGCTATAACTCTTCTTATTAAGGCATCATAATTACTTAATATCCTAGATATAAATTAATTATAATACTCTTTAATGTACAATTCAGTTTTTTTGATTACTGAATTATATATTTTGCTATATACAGTATTTTTGTAATTCTGATGTTAAAGATGAGATGTTTAGATGTTTTTTTTTTTTAATTACTAGTCAGAGATTATATTTTAAGATTTAATATAGTTGTGGCTCGCTGTAAGATGTTGCTGCAATACTTAATATATAGACTGCTTACTTTTAATTCTCGACTGCAATGTTTGTTTTCCAATAACAGCGAAAAAAAAACAACCTTTTACTATTAATTCAAAATTTAGGAGGGGAAGGGGATTAAGTAATTAAATATAGTGTACTTATACAAATTAACTAATGAATATAACGTAAATTTTAATTTACAGTTTACTATGAATAAGTAATTGCTGAATAATATATTAATATTCTGATATCTATAAATTCAAGTAATATTGCATAACTATATAAATTTCAGTAACTACTTGTATATCATTAATTAGTCGAATCTATAATGGGACATCTACCAAAATGCAGATCTAATGTTAATTTGATTTATTCAACAATACAATCTCAGTTGCTGAATAAGCTAAATTGACGTTAGTTTTGCATTTTGAAGACGCCCATAGTAATATCACTGACAGTTTTTTTTAATCAAAGGGCGGTATATTTTAAATTGATTTTTTTATAATAAATATTATACATATTAAAATACTCTGACTTCGAAATTGTAATAATACGGTATATTCATGCATAATTCAGATTATAAATTGTATTTACTGAATTGTGCAACAGTACAGTATTACTGCATTTTTGAAGTTATGGAAATTAATATTCTTTTTCATTTCTAGCATGATTTAAATAAGACATTTTAATTAATTTACAATGTATAAGATTACAGTTAAAATTTTTAATGCGTATAGTCAATGATTTCGTTTTAAGAAACGATGTATGTACATGAAATTACTTTATTTTATTACGAAATTAATTAATCGTAAATATAGCGCACTATAATATTATATTCAATTTCTAATTCATCTTAAACGTAAAGTACTGAATTTAGTTTAAAACATCGTTTGCATTATTATATATGCATTATTACACCGCATTTTAAAATTCAAGGTATTGTATATGGAATAGCCTTATGTAGTGTCCATTTTATATCACCTTTTTTTATTAATTATCCCTGACTTTAAAATTGCAATAATATGGTATTAATATACAATTCAGCAATTATAAATTATAAGCTGAATTATATATGAATGCATTATTATTAACACGTGGTTTTAAATCGTAATAATACGATATTAATATTACGATTCAGCTTATGATTTGTAATTGCTGAATTTTATACTAATATGGAATTATTGTAGTTTATAAGTCTGGGTTTCTCTAAGCTTCAGTGTTTAAGGGATGCCTGCCGATGTTTATTTATTATTTTATATTTTATACCAAAAGTATGGTTAATTAATTTATGTATGTATAATGAAGTGGAAAAATTTTTTATGCGTTGCATTTTCAATTCATTTTGTGTAAAAAAAACTATTAATAGAAGCTTATATTTAAAAGAAATATGTATGTATATATAGATATCGTGACTCCAATAACGCAATAATATCGTATTACTAGACAATTCAGCTTATAAGTGTTAATTGCTGAATTTTATATTAATATAATTTTATTGCAATTTGATGCCAAAGATATACATATATATACATATATGTAAAACGTGCATATAATATGTATGTAAATAAATAAAAAAACAAAAAATAAAAAAAAGCGATAATAAAAAAATAATTGATATCGAATTTAATTTTTAATTCAATAAGAAATAAATTACCTGAAATTCCCGATTATACAATTCATAACAATTTTCGAAAAGGAATTGATAAGTGGATCTAAGGCAAGCCTTAACGCAATCTTTGACAACAGTACTGGCTCTTGGTGGACTTGATAATTCTTGTACCTAAATTGTAGTTTTTTTTTGTGTTTTGGTTTTTTTTTTGGTTTTTATTTTTCGTTTTGATTGGAAAATTTTTTTAATTTTAAAAATTATTAATTATATTTTGTTAAAATATTATAAAAAAATATTTTCATTTAAATGAAAATTAAAAAAAAAACATTAATTTTATAAGATATAGCTTAAAAACAAAAAAAAAAACAAAAAATCATTTAAATTGATATTTTCTTAAATATTAATATAAAAGCCATACAAAGTACATAAAAAATTTTATATGTAAATAATGTATACAAAAAAAAATGTATTCATGGAACTAAGATTGGTTAGCAATGCGGATTAAAAATAACATTGACTTCAAAATTGCAGAAATACGGCATTAATACAAAATTCAGCTTGTCAACTGTAATTGCTGAATTGTGTGGCAATACAGTATTATTGTAATTCTGAAGTCACGGTATCTGTGACTTCGAAATTGCATTAATAAACTGTTTATAGTTTAACACATTTTAGCATTTACAATTCATAAGCTAAATGACCGTATAGCAATACCCCCATATTAACTCTGCAACTCTTGAGATTAACGAAATAAAAGCCAAATGTGTTCATATTGCAAAAAAAAAAAGACAAAATTAAGGGTTCAATCGTAATTTATCTCGAAAAGAACAAAAGAAATTTAATTATTTTATTCACAAAAATCGATTGATTTTATATATTTCACAAACTTGTCCCGTATTCGTATGGCATACCTTCAAAACCGTATTTAAAGCCTATTTTAAGATAATATAATAAACGTTACTGGACATGAAGCCAGCTTATAACTTAAGTTAATTAAAAAATTTTGGCTTACTTGAATTGGAATGTTGAAGTAGAAATGACTACTTGAAAGCATGATAGAGCTTCAAGCTCTATGATACTTTCAATGATGGGTGCATCTAATGAATTTTATAAAGAAATTTAAGTATGCCAGTATTTGGTGAATCTAAGTTAAAGTTTTAAAGTGTTTATTAGATAAAACAAAATGTTCGGCCATTTATTTTTAAACTGAGAACAAAAGGCTTCCTTGGACAAAAAAATACAGTCCCCCTCACCCCTATATTTTAACAAAATTTAATTATATCTTATTTAAATTAGCTCTTTTGTTTGCTCCCTCACTAGTATAAATTACGATTATTTTGAATATTTTGTATGTGTGTAAATCAAGGCAATAATATCAACTATTTAATCTATAATTTTAAACTAAACTGCATAGCATATAAAAAATAAAAAAAAAAACATAAAATTTGTTAGAAAATTTTGTTAATTTTTACAAATATACGAGTTTATGTAACACTATATGACCAGCTTTCGAATAAATTTCTTGTTTTAATTTTTTCTTATGTTTTAAAAACAATAGATTTCTTTACGCAAACTTTTAAAAAATATACTTTTTATTTTTAACAAAAAAAAAATCAAAATATATAATAGCCAACTGACTTGAAAAATATTATAAAATTACCTACTTATTTAATATAAAAAATTACGTTATACATTTTCGAAGACAATAGAAAAAATAAAATTACGGTAAACTAAGAAAAAACCACAAAAAAATTATATTTTAAAGTTTTTTAACCCTTAAGTATATATAAAATTCTTTTTCAAAAAAAACTTTATTTCATTGATTTAAGATCATGAATTTTAAGCGCTCAAATGCAAAACTAATAATGATTAGGACTACAATCTGTTATTGCATCGCAATTGCATGTAAATAATTTTTATAATTATTTCAAATTTTTGAAAATGACATTTTGTTTTGTTTCCATTTCGTTTTAGAAATATAAATTGCAAGTGTATATATTGAAACTCCAGCTATTTCAACAAATTTCAACAACCACAGTGTCTATTTAATATTATTATTTAGCGAAAAAGAATATTTGGCAATATGTACTTAAGTGTTGAAAAAAATCATATATGTATATAAAATACTAAAAAAATAATTATTTGTTACAACTAAAAAATAAAAGAAGAAAAACCAAAAATATTGAAAACTAAATTTGATTTTAGTTTTTTACTTTAAAATTTAATTTCCTAATCTTGAAACGTGTGAAAGTAGATTTTAATTTTTAAAATTTTTGTTTTGTTTTTTAGTTTTTTAATAAATTTACAAAAAAAACTCCTTATTTACGGTATTTACGGTATAAAGATTACATTACGTAAATATTGAAGAATTAAAAACAGAAAAGATAGACATTTTGACAGAAATAAGGGAAAATATAGAAGAGAGAGTATAAGAGGATCCAAAGACAGAAAGGGAGAGAGTGAGTGAGAGAGAGAAAAAAACGAAGAAATAAATATTCTGTTTAATTTTCCATTATATTCTTAGTTTATTATTGCTGAACGTACATTTATAGTTAAACAACTATAATCTTCTGTATACAATCTCACTAGTCATAGTCTTAGGGTAAAGACGAAGAAGAGAATTAGATACCATTTTATTCGGATTCCATCATGAGAACGACATTGGAAAACCTTTATTAATAATTGAGAATCAGTAAAAAGAACATTTTGAGAAGATTTTAGAAGAATTACGTTACGAGAAAGAATTATAAATATAATAAAAAGGAAAATTTATTATAACGGAAAAATTACAAAATAATCGAGAATGTAATTTTTGTAAATATTTTGCAAATTCCACAAATGATGTGTGAAGATTAGGACATTGTATAAAAACTTCTTTAAATTATTAATAATTCTTTCTAAATTAAAAATAATATAAAATTTGCAACGATAAGGCTGCTTTGATGATAAATCAATTTGCCATTATATTGAAAAGTATTTTCGATTATGGGTATGTATGTATATTAAAAGGGTTAGGAATTGTCACCACGGTAAAATTGGATTTTAGACTATTTTACTGACGATTGCTGAATCGTGCCGATAATTTCAGCTCATTTCGCTGGGTAGTCCGTTCGGTTTTCAACTAACGTTAAATAAGGAATAAACCAGATGAGAATGACAATTCGGGTTGTAAAAGAAGAAGAAGAAGAAGAAGAATAAACTATATAGGCGATGAAGAAGAAGAAGAATGTAATGTAATCAGTATACTAAACTTCACTCACATTTACGTTATAAATACATATTTATTATGTATGTATGTACCCACATATATTTATAATTTTATTTATTAAAATAATAATTGTGTGTATTTTAAGATATGAGTGAGTGCGCATACATTTGTTATTATTGTAAGTGCGGTAAAATATTTAAGGCGTGATAGAAAAAATTTTGTTAGTTAAAAAAAAATACTAGTTTTTTTTTTTTGCAATGCAAATTTTGTGTTTCAATTTTATAAAATTTAAAAAATTTTTTGTTTTTTTTTTTTTGATTTTTTTTAAATTATTAACCTACTTTCATGCGGAAGAATGTTATACTGGTTAATAAATCTACAGTTGACTTGAGGTCCATAAGTTTTTCCTGACTTGATGCTGGGAAATTATTACGATACATTGATAAATCAATACGTAATGAATTGTGCAATTGATCCAATAATTTAACGAATTTCTCTTTCTGTTTAAAAAAATTAACGCAAAAAGATAAATTTGATTAATTATTGGCTTTTTAATGTTGTTTTTCATTTTGGGGTTTTTGTTGTTTTTTTTTTTTTGATTTGATTGTTGATTTTTGTGATTGATTGATTTTATTTTTTTATTATTTTTATTACATTTTTTTTTAAGTTCTTTGTAATTCATCATCACATTTTGATAATACAACATTAAATGTTTTTTACAAAAAAAAAAAAGCAGGGAATAGAGGAAAATTTTTCGGATTTCATAAAGCAGAATTAAAATGAGTAAAGTAAAGAGGAGAAGAGGAAAGGGAGGGGTATAAGGAGGAAAAATTTAAATAGAATTGATATGATGGTAGCGTGGAACGTGGAACTACCATCATGTGATCAAAAATTTTAAAAATTAAAACATGTATAGAAATTAAGTGGGGCTTTTTTAGAAAAAAAGTTGTAGTGGAAGAATTAGAAAATGAAAAAACTACGATATTTAACACAATATATTATTATAACATATGTATATTTGATTGAATTGTATATATAAAAGATGTTTTACTATTCAATATAGTCGTGATATTTTGGGATACTATTCATGAATCACATGAAATCAGCATCAGCTGATTCGAAAATGTTTTTTTTTTTACTAAAATCCAATCAAAACATATAGAAAATTAAAAAGATATGAAATTGGCGCTCTCCGATTAAAATCTAAAAAAATATAAAGGGTTAGACCAATTAATTCATAATAAAATTAATTTAATAACTGTACAAATTTATCAAAATTGAAATGAAATTGACGCCCTACAACTAATATTTTAAAAGGTGTCAATGAAATTGATTTCATTAGAATAAAAATATTATAAAAATAATAGATTTAAAAATTATATTGAATTCGTTTGAAAAATACGATACAATATGAAAGAGTGTTGTTAATTAAACCGCGATTACACCACGATTAAGGTAAACCAAAAAAAAATATGTAACATATATTTAATTAAAAGAAATAAAAATAAAATTGAAATTTTGTTGAAAAATTGGAGATTAAAGGATAAAAAAAATATAGGAAGAAAGCGGAAACGAGAAAAGGAAAAGAGATTTGTTTTTTTTTTTTTATTTTGTTTCTGAGGTTTAGCAGTAGCAACAGGTTATAAAATCTTTTCAAGAATTTTTTATAATTCCAAAACATTTTAAATAAATTTTTGCTGTTTCTTTCTATTCTTATTTGGTATTATATTTTTAAATAATTATTATTTATTATTAAAATATAATTTTATCATTTTATATATTTTTATATTATTATTGAAATAAAATATATAATTTTATATTACGCTATATATTTTCCTTATTAAATAATTAATTATATTTTAATAATTGTAGATAATTATTGAATAAATGTTATTCATTATAGTTATACAATATATTTTATATTTGTATATTTGTATATTTGTATTTTGTTTTTGTCTGGAACCATAAATTTCATGAAAAGAATTTTATTTTTATATTTTATTTTTTAAATGTAATTATGTAGCAGCAGTAGATACTTTATATATATATGTAGATATGATATAAGTTTATAAATGTTTATTATAATTAATTCTAGAAAATATGGAGGGAAAAAAAAATTTATATTATTTTTAAATATACTTATTCAGAATTTTTAGGAATATTTTATAAATTTACTTATTTTTTTTTAAATTTTTTAATATTTTTTCTATATTTATATATATTAAATATATTTTTGAATATAATTACGAAAAATTAGTTAGTTAATAAGTAAACAAAAGAAAAATCAAAAACAAATAATAAAGTAAGAATTTTAAATAAATATAAATACAAAGAAAGAATACAAAAAAAAAAATTAAAATAAATAATTATAAAAAATTAAAACTTATATACTAAAGTATTATCAAATTTTCAAAACTACATTCTAAAAATATTAATTAATATTAGAACGAAAATTATAATTTATATATGTTGTTTAAAATATAAAATAGTTCAGATAAATTTAGTAAATTTTATTTATAATAAAAAATGAAATTGCAAATCTAAAATACTTAACAGATAAAAATAAACATTTTATAACTATGATAATTGGCACAACTTAAATTTAATTGAGCCGATAGACTTGGTAGCTGGTGCTTATTGTATTATAATTTTTATATTTTAATTAATGTTTTTAAATAAATAAAAATTTTAATTATAATTTGCTTCTGGGAACAAACCGCCCCCATCTGTTAGAAGTATGTGCCAAACTATCGCATCGATTATATTTCTTATCTTATACATTTATGGTAGGTATATAAAAAAAAAAACAGTTTTAATTTTTTTCTTTGTTTTGAATTTAAATAAATACGATAAGCTATCGTATAACGAAAAGTAAAATATCGTATTTTTATCGTATACGATATTTTACATTTTATCGTATTTACAAAATATTACAAAAACAAAAAAAAAAATGCTCACAACTTTTATTTAATATGGTTTATCCCGTTTTCATAGTATGAAAATAAACCGATAAAAATTTTTCACGATATAGAGATGAGGATTATCAAATTAAAAAAACAAATTTATAATATTATAAAAAAATAATATTTTTTTTATTTTTATTTTTTCATCTATATATTTAAGTAAACTAGAACACTTTTAAATGGGAAAGTGAGAAAGGGAGCATTCTCAATTAAAAAAGGCATGAAAATTTCCAAAAAAAAAAAAATTTAATTTTTTGGTTTGAAAGCAATTTTGCATTTATACCAAAGCTTTTTGAAATAAAGTAAGATAAAATTTTAAAATGAAATAAGCCATTTTCTTAAAAGCATTGTAATTGTTTTTTTTTTGCTAATGTGCAATGAAATACTTTTTAATAAACTACCCTATTACTTATAAAATTAATTTACCGTATAGAGTTTTACCCTATAAAACAAAACATAAGAAACCATTTTATTCTTTTATTATAGCATTAATTACTGTGAAAAAATTTTCAGACAAAAAGTATTTAACTGTGTTTATACCTACAAAATGTGATGTTAAACATAGCAAATCCAAAAATCTTTAATCCAAAGAAAGAAAAAAGTCGCCTAGATCAGAACTATTTTAAGTCATATTTTAAGAATTTTTAAAGAGAGCGACTTAAAATACTTATGAGCTGGCGCGGAGATTATAAATGGAACCGCCTTTTTTTGGTATTATATGAGTAAAACACAACCTTAATTTTTTTTTGGCATAACCATTTCTTTTTTTCCATATAATGTTTTTTTTTTTATTGTTCAAATGTCAATTTAAAAAATTTTTTGACATTTTAAATATAATTAAATGTCAAAATAACTCTGAACACACATGTCTGTTGTTAACCAGAAACAGTATTTACATCGCTTTGCTCGAGGTAGTGTTGTTGCCGATCATTTTCTAACTACTAATTGAATACGTAAATACGAAAGGAAATAATATCATCAGTCAGGAAAAAATGCCAAAATATTAATAAATGACATAAAAACCACGCTGTAGTTTTATTCAAAAAGTTTAGTATAATAGTTCTGATCTAAAGCGACAATGTATGTATATTTTATATAATTTTTATAAATTTATGTTTATAAAATATATAAATATTTGAATATTATTAATATAATTTTTTTTGCATGGTCTGGACTTTATATTTTGAAACGCAATTAAAGTAATAGGCGAGGTTAATTAAAAAAAAAATTAAAATGAAAAAAATATTTAAAATATAAAAATTACAAAGTAATTTTTCATTTTTATATTGTAATCATTCTCATTTTCTTCAACAATTGGAAGATCTTCAATCATTTTGAATGATATATGTTCGGTGGTTGCAGTACTATTTGTAGTAGTAGTATTACTTTCCGACTGGAAATAAATTTTTATGTATGTGTTTTGGTGTTTATGTTTTGTGTGTTTTTTATGTTTTATATATTAAAGTTGTGATTTTATAGCGATGATGTTGTAAATTATTTTTATATTGGTGTTCAATATAGATTTTTTTGATGTGCATGTCATGTAGATATAATATAATTTCGTGTTGTTTTGTTGTTGTTTTTTTTTTCAATATTTTCAATATGGATGGTAGAATTTCTCAGTTGCATTTGTTTGTAGTAAGTATAATTCAATATTATATTTATATAATTTAATTTGTAAAAATTTGATGTAAATTTGCAATACGATGGTGTGTTGTGGTTGGTAGTGGTGCGCATAAAGTATAAATTTATATTTTGTGCGTATTGTGTGTAATTTATTAAGTTGGATCAGTTAATATTTTTTTTTGTAATTTTTATCATTTCATTATAAACATGTAAAAATATAGTATAAAAGTGTATAAAAAGAAATAATTATAATTTTTTTCATAATAAAAATTTAAAATTGAAAAGAATAAAAAAAATTATTCATATTGGAAAAAAAACGAATAGAAAAAGAGAAAATAATACAAATAAAAAGAGAAAAATAGAAAATTGGAAAAGAAAAAAAAAATGAAAACACATAGAAAAAATCATTAAATAATTAAAATTAATTTTTAATATTTGCTAATTAAAATTATAAATAAAATTTAATTTGTATACAATATACCTAAAATTATATTTGAAAAGAAAATTTCATGTAATTTGAAATAAAATACAGACATATTACATACATACACACGTACGCACAACAAACATAAATCAAACAGAAAACACACACTCAACACACAGAAAACACGCACAAAATACCCTCGAAACAAACAATACAGATACAAATCACAGAAAAATTTTCAGAAAATTTCTGTTCAAAAGTTAATTTTCTATATAATACGTTATGTAAACGAACTTTTTGTATTAGTCATACAAGAAATTGTCAAACTTTTATGGAGACACGATAAAATTACCGTCTATCAAAACCATCAATAAAATCACATAATTTTACATAATTTACGTGTGCTACTCGTAGCAAACAAGATACACGTTGCGTTCATGTCGCGTCAGTCACACATATCACAATACACAATAAAAAATACTGATTTTTAACTTAAATACAAAGAAGAGAACAACAATTTTTAAATAATTAACAAATGAAATATAGAAATGGTTGTAATAATAAAACAAAAAAAATTTTAACCAATAAATAAAAAGAAAACATTAAAAAATCTCGTTAGGAAATTTATTAAAATATATTCAACTTTATATTATTAATCAATATTAATTTGTCCTTAATCATATATAGTTAGTTAGAGATTGGTATCGTGAATCTCAGCTTCGATCAAAGGATTACATGACATATTTTAATTATCTTTGATTTATGTCAAATAATGATCATCAAATCAATTGATGAACGTCAAATAAATTGATATTTATCAAATACAACTGTACTTTAATTTGTTTAAAACTGTAAGACAAATTTCAACTGTAAGACAAGTTTCAATTTAACCATGTTTGTTCATCTGTCTGTTCGTCCGTGCCAACGATAATTGAAAAACTACTTGAGCTAAGTTTAGTAAATTTTCACAAATGATTTATTATAGTAAATACGAGAAACCTATTAAAATTGGATATGATTGAAGTACTGATTCGTACAGCTGCCAAATAACTTCAAAATTTATTTGGCTATATCTCAGAAATTATGGAAGTCATTGTATTCCCACAAGCAAATATATGAATATGGCTAATGTGCTTGATTAAAGTCGTTGAACTAGCTTGGCTCCTTTTGGTAGCCGCCATACAATTTGAAAAATTCTTTGGCTATATTTTGAAAACTGTTCAGTCTACAGTACTGACATTTGTCAAATATGGTAAAATGGTAGCTATATTTATTAAAATGATTTAAACTTTTTCTTAATTTACTCAATTTTTTCTTTTCTTTTACTGTAAATTACTTCTTATTATATAATATATACAAGCTAATAGTTCATTGAGATCCGATAAATAAAAACAACTAAATCAAATAAATAAAAGTTGTTGAGATGTCATGAGCCATACAACTCCAAAAGTTATTTGGCCATATCTCAGAAATTATTCAGGTTATAGGTTCGAATTTTGCAGAAACAAATACATCATTAGGGCTGTTATGTTTGGAAAAAAGTCGTTGAAATTGCTTGAGTGCTTGCGGTGGGTTCCATACAACTTCATAAGTTTTTTTTTTTCATAACTAAGAAACTATCAAAGCTCCAAAGCTGAAAGTTTGAACAAACAATTTTGGTGATCTGGCCATCATTCATGACAAAAAACATAAAAAAGGCTCTTTACTGGTTCCTTCTTCTTGAAATAATAGTCTAATTACCATATTTGTTTGGAAAAAGTTTCAGAACTGTAATTTCAAAAATTTCTTTGATACGCCCCAAAAACTTTTGAGGTATAATAGCAGCTAACCGAAATACTGGTATTTTTAGAGTTATCGTTGGGACGAACTAGGGTGATAACAATATATTAAGGCTAATAAATCAAAAATATAATGCTTTTATTTTGTTTCGATTTTCCTTGAGTTGGTGAGATTTTAACGTCGGGGATTTTTACCTCTTTAAAAACGACAGTGAAAATCCTGAAGTTACAATGATGAATATTATGACTGATGTAGGGGAGGAAAGATCATAAATACATGACTCGGCGTATTGAATTGAATAAAATAATAAGAGTATAATAAGAATCGATTCCCAGCCTTTTGGAATTTGTTTCAAAACTTTCAAAAATATTTTTAAATAATATTCCAATCAATTAAACCATTACCCATTTCAATTTGTTACAATAATTTCAAACAAATAAGATATTAAAAATTGAGTAAGTTTCTTATTTGACAACTTTCCATAGTTTCCCATACTCGTAACTTCTTATAATAAAGTAAATATCCTTCTTTTTTTTGAAATTTGAGATTTACAGATTTAATTATAAGTAAGTTTTGATGTCAATGGGGCATCTGACAAATATATATGTATATATATACATATGATACATATGATATATATATAAAGTATAAATATATATATACATACATATATATATATATATATATATATATATATATATATACATATATATATCCATATTTATATATATAAATATATATATATATATATATATAATATATATAAATATATATATATATATATATATATATATATAACAAATATATATATATATATATATTCATATTTTTATATATACCCATATATAAAAAATTGTAAAAATTTATATATATATATATATATATATATATAAACATGTAGAAGAAATATATATATATATAATTGCATAAATATATATACATATATATATTTATATATATAAATATTCGTACGCATATATATATAAGTTATACTTATACTTGATTAACTTATTAAGTTATTGAATTTTTTTATATTATAGTTTTAATTTATTGTTTAAATTTTTATATTATGTAGAGATACATAATATTATGTAGAGATACAAGGTAAGCAGTTTAAAATCTAAAATTTAATTGAATCACTAAATAACTTACCCCAAAATTACTAGCTGCAAATCTATCACTAGCTGATACCGCTGATGATGCTGTTGTATGAGCATAATATGCATTTATATTTGCTAATAGTGTACTCATAACAGCTGGTACACCTGGACAGAGGTATTTTGTTGATAGGCAATGAAAATGTGTCATAGCTTGGTAAATATTTTCGATGCCATAACGCATTGCAAATTCATCGACAATTTCTTGCGGAATTTCATCAAAATAAATTTTCCAAGCATCGTCACCCTTTGACTGAGGTAATTTAACCTATGTATATTTATATATTGTAAAATAAATTAAATTATTTATGACAGAAAGCAGATTTAAATAAAATAAGCTTGAAAAGATTTGCTTGATTTGAATTGGATTTGTTAATATTTTGGGCAATCTCTAATATAAAACTTACCATTCCACTATTTTCTTCACATAAATAATGAAATAAATTTTCATGAAGGCATGTATACTGGACGTGATATGGTGCTACTTTTTCTTCGCCTTTTATTTCGACGGATATGTGAAGACGGATTGCACCAGAAACAGCTGATTTATCAGTACGTTTCTCTAAATTATACCAAACATCCATTTCACCGGATAATGTTCGTACTTCAATGATTGTTTGTCCCAAAAAATCATCTGATTCACGTGTCAGTTTTTGTCTTAATTTTGATTTCAAATCATTATCTTCGTCCCAGACACGAACTTTAATACGATCCGATGAATTATGGCATTCACTGAAGAAAAATGTTGTGAATGATTTTTTTTTTTTGTTACTTAAGACCTAAATAACTTTTTCAAAAAATAAGTACTTACAAATGAAATTTTTCGTTCCATACTGGATTCAGTTCTTGTGGCATTGTGCGTGTACGTTTCTTAACTTTACTAACTTGTACTGTAACATAAGGGTCACTGGTGCCGCTTTTATCTTTAGCAATTAATCCTTGAGCGCATATTACTGTTTACATTTGGTTTTTTTTTTTTCAATATACATTTCGGAGGGTCAGTTTTTTTGTTTTATAAGTGCACGTTATTTTGAAGTTTGTGAGATGAAAATAAATATATGTATTTATATATATAATATATATATAATATGTATATGTTATGTTTTCATATATACATGTATATGTTTATATATAAAATACAAATTATACATTTATACAAGTAAAATGATATATAAATAGTGTATTAAATTTTAATGATTACACACACTGAATTTAATTTCTATTGTTATGTTATAAAATGAGATATCGTCATTTATGTGAACAATAAATTGCCTAATTTCATATTATAATATTTAACTTTCAATGCACATACTCCCAATGTTAAGTATGGAAAATTTTTCAATTTACGGAATTGTATAACAAATTTTTATACGATTCGAAATTCTTATTAGCTTTGAAATTGCATAAAATTTTATGTTAATAATCAGTTCAGTGCATTAATATCGTATTTACTGAAATTTTGAAGTAACGTAATCTTTGTCCAAAAGATCTGAATGGGAATTGGACTAAAAAACCCAAATTCCCAAATAACATGATTTTAGTTTCTTCAGTAATTAAATACAATTTAAATCATAAGAAGAATAATTTGAATAAGCTGAATAAATAAAATAAAATTTAGAATATATTGTCACGTATCTGACGATATTAGATTATAGATAAATATAAAAAGAACACAATAACCACCAATATACAAATATAATAAAAATATGACAAGTCGGAAAAAAAAATTTATACTTTCTACTTATATATAACAAATAAAATAAATTAAAAAACATTGAAAATATTTTACATTCTCTGACTTTAAAATTTTATTAAGATTTTGATAATACACCATTCAGCTTAACAGTTGTAATTGCTGAATTTTGTATTAATACCATATTATTACAATTTTTAAGTCAGAAATAATTTTCTTTATTTATATTTTTTTAAAATAAAATTTTTAATTTCCATATAATAAATTATTTGATTTTCATATACATATACACAATAATGTCATATATATGGGGGCATAAAATAAGTATGCTTATTTATTATATACAGTTACATCATTATTATTAAATTATAAAAAAAGGAACAAGCGTTGCAAATGATAATGAAAAGCACATAAAGAGATTGATTTTGTATTATTCAATCCGCTAAGTGAACTTTATTTTTTCCATTTAGTAAAAAAAAAAGCAAAATCGATAATTAAATAAACAGCTATTTAAATTATTGTTTAATTATAGAGCATAATTTTTAATCTTCTTCCCATTTTTCCAAATCTCACTACTTTCACTATATTTTTATTCACGACTTAAAGATATTAATCTAGCGAATTGAGTTTGTACTGAATTTTATAATGCAGTGATAGGGTGTCTACTAAAACGCAGATCTAACGTCAAATTAGATCTGCATTTTGGTAGATGCCCATAATATTTTTAAATTAAATTTAGGAATATCAATCAGTAATTTATACGAAAGAAATAAATTTAGTATATACACTGAAATATTTAAAAATAAAGTTAAAAGTTATTCAAGTAGAGCACATAAAATATTTTAGGAACAATTTACATTCACAAGAAAGAAATGCATTTATAATAAATCAATATTATTTTATATACAAACATTCATACATATACTTGTAATTTTTGTTCTAATTTTTTTTGCAAAACATGACATTGTTCCCTGCGACATTGTTTTGCTACACAATTCAGCAATTTGTATATATATAAGCTGAATTGCATAGAAATGATTATATTATAATTTTAATCAAAATTATTTTATATGCAAACATTCATACATACACTTGAAATGTTTATTATAATTTTTTACAAAACATGAACCCTGACATCCAAATTAGAATGATATCGTGTTGCTACACAATTCAGCAATTAGTATTTATGAGCTGAAATGTATAGACGTAACAGTTATATCAATTTAATGGTATAACTGACTACACTAAAAGCTAAATTTTATATCACAAACTTACTTTACTTTTTAGCTCAATAAAAAAAATGTCAACTGTAATGTAGTTATCGTGTTTTGTAAAAATATTGTATGGCATTCTGTTTTATATATAAAAATATAAATTTTGAACAAAATATCAAAAATATTAATTTAATCAATAATTAAGAACGGATATGGGTTTACCATTAAACAAAAGAGATAATGCGATTTAAATATAAATAATGCAGGGGGTAAAGAAATATTAAAAGTTTACGCGCAAGCAGAAACTGTAAATAAAATAAGCCAGAGAGAGAAAAAGGGAAAATGAACCAGGGCTGCTACTTTGGTAGATTTCTACCAAAATTGGCTTTAATTTTTTTTTGTTGGCAGATCAATAACATTATGATGACAAGAGAACTTAATCGAACAAAAAGTAATAAAATACATTACGTTTGGACTCAGAAGAATTGAAAATCTTCAATTTGAATTAAGAACACAAATACAAATGCACAATTGAAGTCGATATATAAAAATCAACAATTGACGCTTGTGTTAAGCGCTTTATTATAATATATGTATAGTGATTTTGAAAAATGAAATGTGATAAAATGAATTACATACTTATGTTCATTATGTTATACCTTTATTTATGGTTATAAAAGTTAAAATTGTAAAACTGAATAGATTTGTATTTTTTATTTCTCAGAAAATGCTTTTTTTCTTGAATTGGTTTATTTTTTCTGTAAAAGTGAGTTAGAAATATTTTTTACAGTGGCAACCCTGGAGTGAACGTGAAAAGAGAGAAATAAGAGAGCAAAAAGAAAAAAAGATTGTTTTTTTGAATATTAAAGAAATTATTAACTTTACTTTGGCTATCTTTCAATTAATTTCATAGAAGTTTTATATTGTATAGAAGTTTAAAATATTCGAAAATGCTGATTATATATTTGCGAATAAATAAAATGATATGAAAAAGTATTAAAATTTTAATTTTTAATCTCTAATTTTATCCATTATAGATTAATGATAATTAATTAATAATAAGGTACCCAAAAAAAAAAAAAAATAATAGTAATCATTCATAATTACAAAATTTGCAATAATACACTATTAAGATAAAATTCAGCTCATGAATTCTAATTGCTGAATCGTATATTAATATCATATTATTGCAATTTTTAAAACAGTGCATTAATACACAAGTCAGCTTGTGAATTTCAATTGCTGAATTGTATATTAATATCATATTATTGCAATTTTGAAAATAGTGCATTAATACACAAGTCAGCTTATGAATTTCAATTGCTGAATTGTATATTGACATTATTTTATTGCAATTTTCAAAACAAAATATCTGAATTTTTGTAATTTCTTCCAAAATTTTTATTTTGATTAATTAAATGTACATAATTCTTAATATTCTTAATTTAATTTATATTCTTGTTTGTAACAAGTTTTTCTTTTGTATTCTTGTTTAATATTATTAATAAACTAATATATAATTATAATATATGTGATATATAAATAGTATAGAGAAGTGAAATAATCTTAAGATAGGAAAAGAAGTTTTAAGTTTTATAAATTATATTATTATAATTATTAAGCGAAAAAAATACATTATGATTTTTTAGATGCGGGATAGAAATTTGAAATTTCAAACTATTATATTATGCTTATATTAACTATGCTATTTTTATTCTGTTTCATATAATTTGATATATATACTTAATTTTATGTAATTTTTAATAAAATTTTTACTATAAAAAAAATTGTATATATTATGATTATTTTTGAATATAAAAATATTTAAAGGTTTATATAAAATATGGTAATCTCAAAATTTCATTAATACCATATTAATATACAATTCAGCAATTATAATTAATAAGCTGAATTGTATATTAATGCAGTAATTGCAATTTTGAAATCGAAGATATATATGTTTATATAAATATTACATAAAATTCTACATAAAAAATAGAATATAAAAATAAAGAGTGTAAAAATAAAGAGTGTGTGAAAAGAAAGAGTTTGAAAATAATGTGTTTTTTTTTTTTCGAAACGGATTTTTAGAGTGATGTTTCTGTGATTTGCTACAATTATTATAAAATATGGTTGAAAAATACTCATAGGATTTGGTTTTTTAGTATAAAATTAAATTCTAGTGTGCTTTGTTTATTTTTTGGTAAAATTATATTAGAAATCTTAATAAATATAACTTAAAAAAATAAAATAAAAAATTTTTAATGTAAAAAATAACAAAAAGAAACCTTTAGTATTAGCCAGTAATGTACGTACTTATATGTAGCTTTGTTCATAATTTTTCGATAGTGAATATAGCTATGACTTTGAAATTATCACAATTCAGCAACTAATACTTGCAAACTTAATTGTATATTAATATCGTATTACTATACAATTTAAAACTTATAAACACTAGTATTTTTATTGAAAATATATATTCAATTCATAAAATTTGTCAAATAATCCGCTTCCGCACTCTTGTCAAATCTATAATTGACAAATTGGAGCAGTAGTTTTAGATATTTCTGATAATGTACATATAAAGGGTGGAAATAAAATCCGAAATGTGCAAATTGCAATTAATAAGAATTAATTTATAAATAAATTGAAATTCATGTGAGTTGTTGAATTGCTGGATTGTTTTGTTAATAGCCTCAACTGGGGGAGTAGTCTTTTTGATGATTTGACGGATCATCACCGTTAATTATTTTTTAAAACGACTTTCATTTGCGGATTGTTAAAATAAATAAAATGGTTTTGGAATGTTTATTTAAAATAGGAAAATAATTTAATTTAAAAAAATTTTTGTTTTTTATTTTTAGAAAAGTATTGAGCAGTATAGAACAGCTGGAAGACATTTGTTTTCTTTATGGAATATTATTAATGAGATTTCAGTGTGAAACTTGAAATTAATGTTTTCTCGCAGAAGGAAACGGTTATGTTAAGTAAGTTAGAAAACGTGTGAATTTTGTTTCTTGCATTATTTCCGAGTCTATTATAATTT